GTTTAATGACTTATTCATTCATGAACTGAAATATGCGAAATCCTAAAATTCACGTAATCTCAAGTCCCATGCCCTAGACTGGTTCAAGAGTTAAGCACACAGTGCAAACGAGCAATTTTCGAAAGCGTAGCTGAATATGCCAGCATTCCTGAAGGACTGGAGGATGTTTATTTAAAATGCTGATACGAAATGTTTATAACTTTGGGCGTGCTGTTGGACGCAATGAAGCAGGACAATCAACCAAAGATATCTGTCTTTTCTATGACGTTGATGGATGGGTAATTTCTCGAATGTGAAAACAATTCCAAACAAGTATATTTATTTACTTATTTTACTAACGTCTTGTAATCAAGAGCTGAGAATTTCTCTTTAGTCTTCTTTAGAATTAGAATATATTTATAAACGAACTTTTCCATCTAACGTATTTTTTCAAGATTGCAGAACAAAATGTGGATTCTACCGAATAAAAGAACCTCAACTGATATTTGATATCATTTTGTCAAATTAGATAAAAAAAGGAAAACAATTGTCAATAGACAATTTCCTGTTCTTTGGGATCTGCCTCCAATCTAAAAATTTATTTTTTCATTGTGCTTTGTAGTAGCAACAAAATATCAATTATAGTAAAAACATAATGTAATCTTTAAAAAAAAGTGAGTTTAGTTTTCATTATTTTTAAATTTTATAATTTTTTTTTATTCTGGAATTTTATTATTGTTTTATGTAGGAAGATATTTGTAAGGAATCTCAAAAGTACAGTTAAAAGAAATCAGTCCACTGAGTAAGCGGGTTGGTTATTTCCAGCGATCCCACTCCTGTTCAATTCTTTCTGTTCACCCCCCCCTTATCTTGGCACAGCGCTCTTGATTCTACCTGTTCCGAGAACATTCATCAAGGTCATTGTTAGTGAGCGGTGAATCGTTAAAATCACGAAATGCGACATGTTATGTCAGCAAAAGCCATGCACTCAGGATGTGGCTATCGCCCAGGAGCCTGATTCAAGTGTCTCTTGCACTTCAGTGAGCGAACAGTTCCGATCTGATCCCTCAAAGGAGCAGTTTTGTCCATCGCCTATGACTCTCAGTCCTTGAATTACTTTATTGTGCTTCTTACACTCTATTCTATGCATTATGCTGAAAATAAAGATCTGAAAAAATGCACGACTGCCTCTTCACCAGAAGGATATCTTCAGCATCATTCACTTATTTTATTACACCTACATAAGTACTTAAGCAAACATCTCCACAATAACTATCCTTGATTCTAAAACATTTCAGTTATTTGCAGGAATATTCCCTTTACAAAAATAACTTTCAATAACGATCTTATTGCTGATCTCTAAAACGTTTTCAAAGTTTTTTTTTTTTTTTTTTTAATACAGCCACCGCAAAAGGGTTCACTTTATATAATTTCTTCTTGAATTTTATTTAGATGTAATTTTATTGCGCTTTGAATCATGAATGTTTTTGCAGTCTGATTTACTGAAAGCAGCAAAATTTTTATATATATATATCCTCATTCTCTTAGTTAGGACTTAATACATGGTATTTCTATTTCATTATACTTTTGTAGCAAAAGAGAACTTTTCTTACAACAGAATGCGAAATACTTGGAGAATTCTTGAAAGTGCATAATTTTTCCCCTCTATTTTTTTAATATAACAATTATTGACAAATTCAAACGCAAAAATCATCAGAATTGTCTGCCAAGCAGAGAAAAATAATAAATCATTTAACAGATGCTGATTAAGCAATGCAAAAGATTGCAGTAGATATGAAAATTCACCCAATATTGCAAAATACACCTTTGGAAGAGAGAAAGAAGATAAATTTTAAAATACAAAAAGGTAGATAAGAAAACTTAGTAGCAACAATGTGAGATATTTTCAATTAAAAATTTCCAAGAGAAAAAAAATATGAGTTATTGCAGAAGTTGACTAACCCTTTCCAGAGAATAGAAAAGTCAAATAGATTTTACTGCTTCAAGGAGCAATGAATAATTTGGAAGTAAATGGCATGATATCAATATTATGTAATAATGAAGTGCCCAGATTTTGCTAGAAAATATAAAGACTGAACAGTTGTATGGAAAATTACAGTATTTCCAATAGACAAGCCACAAATTGAAACATTATCTACAAAACAGATGCAGTATGCTAACTAAAACAGACTGCAATGAAAAGCTGCACTACGAAGCATAAAGTTAATATTCTTGTATGTAGATCCGTTATGACATTCGAGTAAACTTTACGATAAAATGAATTAGAAAGCATGCCATCAAATCAATATTTATCTTGGCATACCAAGCTAGTTTCATCTTATTTGCTAATACTTCTATCATCAATACCATAATAATCTAAAGAACTTCTCTAAAATCTATAAATACTGTTTAGCGAAAACGGAAGCTACTAGAATACTTCAACTTAAGTTTCCCACCACTGCAAATATCATTTACACAAAGAGTTTATGTTGGCATGTTTAATCATATTTTGTCAAAAGATTTTTGGTGCTTGAAAGAAAGACTTGCTTTAGAACACTGTATTGTGAAATTCGTAAAAAAATATCATTACCATCAAGTACAAGAGGTCTGAAATTGAACTATCACATTACCAGATTAGAACCATCATTTACTTCCAGTTCTGTTGCAAAAAGTCAGCTACAGGATGTCACCGAATCATGTGTACAACTTTACTAATGCTGTGCCATATGACGCTGTGAAGGTTTGATATTGAGTGTTCAAAAATAAGGACTATGACATTCAAGAAGAAGAGCACTTTAGACAGCCTACTGATGTTGATGAGTATTCAACCACTCCAGACCTTGCTAAGGAGTTAGACGTTAGTGCTATTCCCATTAACTGCACTGTACATTGCATAAACTTGATATACAAGTTCAATCACTGAGTGCCACATAAGCTGACTCAAGCAGATAAGGACAAATGGTGTTCGGGCCTCCACTAATCTGCTCAAATATCAATGCAAAGACAAAATTTTTGGACTGATTCGTCACTGATGAAAAGTGGATTTACTTCAACAACACAGGCCAATACCTGGCTGGCCTCTACCTGGTGAGTCCATCAGTAGCATTGCAAACAGAAATTTGACTTAAGATCATGCTTTGTATCTGACAGGATTGCCGTGGTATTATCCACAAACAGTATCTGGAAAAAGGTAAAACCCTCAACAGTAAGATGTACAGCAAGATGCTAATCCGTGTTGACGTTGCTGTTAAGGAAAAACGCCGAACTGAGTTTCGGTGTAAAAAGGTAATGTTCCATCAAGATAATACAAGACCACATGTGCCTCATTCACCACCTGGACTCTGTATGAACTCGAACAGGATCTTTTGCTAGACCCACCATACAGCCTTGACTTTGCTCTTTCGGTCTTCTACCTTTTTCCACATGTTGCTAATGCTATCTTCCATTCTGCACAGGGTGCCCGAAATAAGGTTGATCTATTTTTAGATTTGTGGCCACTAAGTTTTTGAGCCAAAGGCTTTGAAAAACTACCAAAGTATTGCCCAAAAATGATAAATTTGGGTGGTTATTACTACCTGCACTAAAGGTACTACTTTTCATGGTTTTTTTTCCCTAATTTTATTAAGAATGTTTTTTGAGAGAAAACATTCATTACAACCAGATATTATTGCTGCAAACATTTATCTTAATTGCGCTGAATATCTGTGCAATTTTTTAAATCTAATATTTAAAAAAAACTGAAAATTACATTAAAAGATGTACTTCAGGAAGAAATAAAATAAGTTCCTCAAAGTCAGAAAGAAAGGGAATTAAGGCAGAAGTATTTTATCCAAAATGTTGATTTTTATAACATTACTTTCGACTGAAAGCCTAATACAATGCTCTTTTTATTTAAATTAAATAAATATAAATTTTTTAATTAAGAGATGGTATATGTTCTTATGTATTCATACAAAATTTCATATATTTAAATTAAGCAAATGCAAGATATGCAAAGATAAGACTTTATGATCGCAAATTGCAAAATATGTTGAAAGCAATTTTTATATCGTTACATGATCATAAAAAGTAGTGTTTCTCAACTTTTTTCTCCGTGCACCCCTTTTATCATTGCTAGAAGAAAATTCCTTTCTCCTTCTCCAAACTCTAAAAATACATAGACATTTATTTCGATTTAGATTATTTTTAATACATTTCCAAAAATTAAACAAAAACGAAATGAAAATGTTGGCAAATACCAAATCTTGAATAAAAGTAGTTATGTTCATAGACTAACAAACTTAACAGCTAAATAACAGTCTGACCATATGCCCCCCAAGCAGCAAATCTCTGATATAAAGTCTTTGTATAACTTAGCAAGAAAAAAAAAAAAAAAAGTTTCAGATTTTAAATTACGTCTATAGGGGCCTTTTTTTAATGTTTTGTGTGTTACCTTTATTTCTTCACACTTAAACCATAAAATTCAGTTCAAGAGCAATATCGCAAAATAATTTCCAATACACAGTCTCGCGCAATTATTTATTAATTTTTTTCCTGTACAACGTTGCCACTTTGAAATCCTTGAGTTTGTTAATCAAAAAAAGTTAAAAGTTTTACAAAATTAGAAATTGATAAGAAAACAAATTCCATATTTCAAATTTGGGCTTCCAGATGCACATATTCTCAGGAGGATTATGGTATTCAAAATTTGATGGCTCTAGGTACCATTGTTTTATCACAATACGAGAAACATACATACATTTATGCACATTCTTTATTATATAATTTCTTTAAATTTAGTGGCAACAATTTGAAGATTGAAACAACGCTTGTAGCGGATCAGTGCAAAATGACAAAAAGAAATTAATTGTCCTGGGCAAATTGCCCCTTTGGACTAATAATGTTTCCCTGATAAACAGCATGTCAAAACATCCTGGCACTTGTCTTAGTAATGAAATAAAAATTACCCATGGAAATGAAAAGTGTTAAATTCAAGAATTATAAATTCAAAAAGTGGAAACAGATGAAATAAAAATTGCACATATATTTCCCAACAGTTTTATTTTCAAATCTTTTTATAGTACTTTCATTTAAAGTACAGGTGGCTGTACATTTTGGAGAATAACAATGAAAACTCCATTCAATAAAACTGTACACCTCACATGAAGACAGACAACTATGCCAGCATTAAAAGGAAGGAGGATCATAATTTAAATTACAAGACTTGCTTTTACAAAACATTGTACAAACATTAATTATAAAAATTGTTTAAGTTATATGGCAGATACATCAGACACTGTGTATAAAATGCAGTAGAAAGACACATGAATAATCATAATGATTCAGTTTTGCATGTTCATATAAAATTGGATTAATGAAGTTAAAAAATAATGTTATGTTAGTTGTTCCCAGCAAATACTAAGGCCAAAAATAAAAGGGTAAACATATTACAGATCTGCAAGAAAAAGAACATCAAAACGAATGACTGTCATTTAATCAACACAGTCAATTTCTAGAGCACCTTGGTCATAAGTTTAAAAAATATTATGCTATAAATTAAAAATTAAAAATTATTCAGATGCTTAGAAATAATATTACAGAGCAAAAACAAAAATATTTTCAATTGTATCTTCTGAAAATTTCAACATATTTTAAACATTTTGCATATACACAAAAACTGGTTTGAAAGTCATTAAAAAAATGTACATTCCTATATTTTTCATGCATAGTAAAGAATTATCTAAGGGAAAAAAAAAAAAAAAAAAAAAAAAAAAAAAAAAAACCACCAGAATTTTTTTTAACAATTTGTATATCAGGTGCTGCTGTATCCAAAAGGATCTCATGATTTATAAAGTATAGACAACACTAGACATGCTGCCACTAAATAAGTATTTCTGATGCGAATTTTTTATTTTCTATGCGATATAACAATTGCAGATTTGTAACCTTTCTGTGTTTCTGATAATATGAAATGTTGTATACAGTGAAGGACTGCAAAAGGTAGGAAAACATTTAAAAGAATGGTTCTTGCACAGATTTTTCATGAACGAGAAGACTTTTGATTGCAGTTTACATCAGCACTTAACATTTTTAAAAATAACTTAATATTTTTGAAACTGTAGAGTGCTTCAACCCTCCAACCTTAAAAAAAAAAAAAAAAAAAAAAAAAAGCAGCTTGCATGAAATTTCATTCTGAATATGAATTCTAGTACATAAGGTAGCTCTATAAAATTTGTCATATTCATGAATTTATTGCTTTATAGTAAAGTCTAGTGCTATTTCAAACAAGAACTGTTTCCCTATAATTCTCTCCTTCCCCACAAAAAAGAAAAATCCTCTTATTTCATACATGATTGTATATCATTGAAGAGCAACTATTTGAAATGTGTCCTGATTTTAAAACACCTGTATTTAAAAACTTAAGTTATTGACAGTATGTTTATAAACAGAAAAATCATATTGTCAACCAGATATTTTCATCTAATAGCCTTTCTGGTAAAATAAAAATTAATTAATTAATAAAAATGCCACTAAATAGTGTTAATGGGGGAAAATCTTGGTTTTGAGTAACTGTACATGTTCTGCTCCCCTTTCCTTGTAGTATAAAACTATTAAACTTTGAAAACATAAGCTCCATAAACATAGCAGAGATACTGGAATAAGAGTGAAAGCTAAGCTGTCTTATGTTGATTACAAGTATTTTGTTAAAAAAATTAACTACGAAGTTTGGATTCTGAAATTTAAATTGAAGTTTCAATAATGTTAAGCTATTTTTGAAATCAATAAGTAGAAACTGTGTATAAAATATCTTATTTGAAAATTTAAGATGACAGATTAGTTCAAACAGATACACTGAAAGTACAAGATGACAAAATAATAATAATAGAAAATAAAATTCACAATAATAAATCAATTAAAAAAACTATATGGAAATGATTCTTAAAGATGCTCTAATAAGTCTATAAAAGAAACGACCAATGACCTCGCCAGTCCATCAAACCAACCAAGAAAATATACTTTGAGACGTAATCAGTTCTGAAAGCCATTATTGCAGGAATATTTTAAGTAGAGAAGAAATCTTTCCCTTCAGTACAGATAGTTGTTGAGTAAAAGATGGTCAGAGACAAATTTATGGACAATGAAGAATAAAAATAGGGAGAAGAAGATACTCATAATTATTTTATGAGTAGATAGATAATGAACACTTTTTTAAGCAATCATACTTACACCTCCCCCAAATCTTTTCTTCATTTTATTTCTTGTGTGTTCCGGTTGGAAACAACAGACCACAGATACATGATTCTTTCACAAATCTGATTAACTTTTTTTAAAGGCTCATTTAAAGGGTCATGAATAATTTAACTATTAACACATACAGAAAAACATTTCAGAATAATAATTATAAATTTAAGGTGCTTAATTTTAGGATAAAATGTATTCTTCAGAAACTTCAGACATTATTACTGAATAATTATTCTCATTTTAAAGTTCAGATTCATAAAGACAGTAAAATCCCACAAATTCGGATGAAAAATATTTAAATTTTGTTAATATTTTTGGCCAGAATAATTCTGACGAAACCACAATTCTTAAATTTCTCCAATCAAATCTATAACAACCTGATATACAAAGTATGTTTACGTCCTAGATATACTTTGCTTTTTAATACTGTTCTAAGCATCTGACTAGGACAATACATTAGATTTCATAACTGGAATAAATTAACAGATTTAAACAAGGATACCTTGAAATATTGATATAATTGGTATGTTTGCAAAATACAATACATCCACAAAGCCCTAACTGAACCTTTATTTTCACAACTGTTGGTTGTAGATATATGGTTCTCATCTACAAAAATGTTTTGAATGCTGCAAAGTTTTGTGTTTTGTCAAATTTAAATAAATAAATTTTCTAAAAACTATTAAATGTAACTTTTATAAGTTCTCCCAGTCTCTATACTCATATTTAAGAAAGTATTATAATCGTCATGAAAAATAAACACAAAAATGTTGACTACTGTATGACAAAAATTGACAGGGATATTCGGACTTCAAAATTTGTAATTTTGACATCGTATTAAATTTATGTTGAGGAGTCAGTTAATATATAAATTAGAATAATCTAAGGCTGATTATTGTCCCATTAAATGTATTCAATAATATTCTTTTGTGACTTATTAGTTTTTAAATTTATAATTTTGTTACATTTGGTATGCTGAAAGAATTTTCACACAAGTGATATTAAATTTCCAAAGTCTAAAAATATGTTTTAATATTGTCATGAAATTTCATTATTTCAGAATCACAATTTGGTAACTGTACAAAAAATTTATTAAAGTACAACTGTTTTCTTTTTTAATTAATGCAAATAATATTATGAGTTGGCTACGTGGCAAGACTGGAACCTGCTAGTGTTCGCTAGAATACAAATTCTATAACATTCTGTGAATAAGATCCTCATTTCGAAAGAAAATTATATTAATTAACAAGTTTCACAATAATCTGCACAGGAATACTTGTTCCTTAATCTCTTAACATCAGAAACCTTTTTCTGAATTATATTTTATTATTCCTTATGAACAAATGCAAACATTTTGCTTTTCAATTTATATATGCCCCTTCAATATGATTTATTATTTTAGTAGCAAATATCTCAAGCACTGTACGGAATTCAAACTTTGTGCACTTTATTTTTTTATAACAAGTTCAAATTTTTCCTAAATATAAGTATTGGAAAAGTTCAAATTTTTCCTAAATAAAGTAAGTTAGAGTGGTGGAGGAACATGTAAAAGTAAGATTTTGTATTTTATACAAAATTTTTTTATATTTAGAAGTACAAAAACACGAATTTTTGCATCATTTAAAAATTTTTGTATAACAAAATATGTCTACGGCCAATAATTATGAAAATAAATTCTGAGTAAGAACTTTTGTGGGCCTGACATATATTTCACATTTTATATCACATAAAATTTATAACTTTCTTCTTTCTTTCCAAGTTGAAATACTGAAATTTGAACGTAAATAATGTTATTAATTATAAATTAATGCAATAGTTATAAAATAAAAAAAAACATGAAAACATTTTTTAAAATAGCACAGTTATGAATATACAGTACTTTAAATAAAATTTTCAGTTTGTATCTTGAAAAATCTATGGCACAATTGATCACAAAATTCAGAGCAATCTATCGAACATAATCCACAGTAATACTTAGAACATAATTCAAACAAACTCATTTGCACACTACCAAATACTCAACAATGAATTTTCTGTTATCCACCATAAAAAAAAAAAAAAAAAAAAAAAAAAAAAAAAAAAAAAAAAAAAAAGGTTTCAATATTTTTCTCAATTTTCTGCTCTTGAATTTGTGCATTCAATTTATGTACAGCTTTTAAATTAAGCTTTACATTATAGATACAAAATCTTTTTTTACATTATAATACTTTATGGTTTAAATTATTATTTTTTGCTAATAATACAGTGAATATAAATTATGTAGACAGGCGGGGAACAAATGATACAGTACATACACTATACAGACGAATGAAATGCTCCATGCACCCATATGTGGATTATCTACAGTTAGATATTTTTATGTACAATGTATAAATGTTCTACAAAAATAAACCCATACAAATATACCAAGAACTATGCCCATGGTAAATATGATGATGGTTCGTGGGCTAACTACAGGTTAACAGAAGCACCAACAATACAGCATTTCTGAAAGCTAATAAAAATTGAAGACTATCAATGCCCATTAAAAGACTAACAGCAAAACAATCACTCGACACTCAAATTCTTAAATCTGAATATGAAGGTGCCTGAGACACATTCAGTGTTTGTGAGGATTCAATGTACTGCACTACCAGCCATTTTCAGACTTCCAGAGAGAAAGAGTAGGTTGTATTACCAACTCCTTTCAGACTTCCAAAAAGAAGAAATTATCTTCTTAAAGTAGTTTGTGCTTATGGGAACCACAAAGGTAGGCACTGTAAAGCATCAGCTGGATCACAAAAATTAATTACATTGGATCATTTCTCATCTTTGGTACTCATCTAAAGGCTTAACAATTCGTTCTGAAAAATAAAAATGAAATAAAATTATTATAGCCAACAGACATGTAATATTTTACCTATACACAATACTTATAACAGTTTATTACAAACATCTATTTGCGATAACCATGTTAGGAACAATTTTTCTACCATTTTCTACTAAAATTTTTGCATTGTTTCTCCCTTTATTAAAAATTTAGAATAGCATAATTTGTACTAAGAAGTAATAAGTATGCATACTTTTATTATCATTATTATTACTGTCTAAAAATAGGTAAAACTAGTTCTTTTTTAATAGCAACATTATAACATACAGGCAACATTACAGGAAAAAATTTATACCAAAGCATCGATTATTCCAAGTTTCCTTGGTGTGTCTTGGTTATCTTTTCTTGGGCTAGCTTAAGACCTTTCGATTAAAATGATGTATTCCATATAATATGCAAAATTGAACTATTTTACTTTACTTTATTCATACAATAAAGGCAGCTATGAATTGAAGGTTTACTATAAATAATAAATATATATTTAGATAATTTTAAAGTATATTATAATGAGCGAATTGGGGCAAAAAAGTTTTTCACAAAATTTTAAACTGGTTGCCAGGTAGCACCAGTAAGTCCCTTAAAACAGTTTTATCTGCCTTATTTCATTTGGATGTCTGCTTTTGTCTACTTAGAACAGATTTAGACAATAAATTAGGATTACTTTAAAGTTTATTTCTGTGAGAAGAGGAAATTACTTTTGCATATTTTTTAAGTCTGTTTTACATTTGTTCATTTTAGTGTACTAAAAATGGATATAACGCCTAGAAAAGAGGAAAGATAACTGCAATTAACAATTACGCATCCATAACTGTAACAAATACTGCTTCTGTGACTGGTATTGGAAAACCGAGCATTTCTTGAATTTTGAGGAGACACAATGAAACTGGACCATTTCTCCAGAAAGGATGGCAAATATGGGAGAAAAAAGAAAACAACTCTAAAATCTGATTGATTCCTATCCAAAAATAGTCTTAAAATACAATATAAACAAGCATAGATCTATTATCTATTTGCCTTGATCTTAATCCTTTAAACATGCTGCACAGACTTTATTGTTAGTCAGAAGGAGAGAAAGCCTATTAAAAAATAGCTTTTTAACATCTCATGAAGAAAAATGACTACTGTGCCCCCCCCCAAAAAAATACTAATGTTGGGCCACAAATGACTGGAAAAGGTTACTTTCAGTAATAAGAGACTCATTTATTTATTTATGGTTACACATCTAATGCTGTTAGATGAAGAACAGGTGAATCAATAAGACATCCAACAAACCATAAAAGGCCATCGAAAACAAATGTTTTAGGGTTTTTTCACTGCAGATGGCACTGGAAATCTAGTTTCTCTTGACAGAATGATGACTTCATCAAATGGCATAGAAATTTTAAAACACAGGATTATGCCAATCTCGAAAACTTTTGCAGGGACATTTGAACATGACTTGACTTCATGCCACAATTCAAAATCTGTCAGAAGGTTCATGTTGGAGATTAAAATTATTGTGGTAGAATGTTTTGGAAATTCATCAGACTTAAACTGGATCAAAAACTTCCAGTATATTTTCTATCTAGAATATCTTGGCATAATGGACTGAAAGACAAAAGAGCACATGATTAAGAATGCTAAAAATGTATGCTTCCATGATAAGATTATATTATATTCCATTAGAGATGTCATTTGAGCTCAAGGAAGACATTTTTAGTCCAAAAGGACTTTGTCCCTGAAGGACTATTGTTTTTGTTTTGCAAATGTGTTGAAAACTTGAAAAGGCTGTATCACTTTTCAAACCGTTGCCATCAAATACTATCGCCCTGTATTATATTTGAAGAAATTAAATAATGAAGAATCTGCATAAATCTATGTATGTTTCTTGTATTGTGATAAAACAACTATACCTAGAGCCATCCAATTTTGAATGACATTATCCTACTGCGAATATGGGCATCTGAAAGCCCAAATTTGAAGTTTAGAATATGTTTTATTACCGATTTTATATTTTGTAAAACTTAAGAAAATTTTAATTTTTTATTAACAAACTCAATGATTTAAAAAGTGAGCAATGGCAACACTTTTAGTTAACCATTTTTTAAAATTATTTTTTCTATTAATTTTATTATCACTGTATATGAAGGTATGTACATAAATTATCAAGAAAAAAATCATTTTGTCTAAATTAATTTGCACATACAATAATTATATATAATCTAATACATATAAATAAGGAAATAGATTTAAATGTAAAGTAGTTTCAAGATCTCATTCATATTCAATTATTTATAGTTATGACAGACTACATTTTTCAACACTTAAAACGTTAAGTTATTTTTATAAGCATTTATAAATGTATATCACAAAAACAAAGAAATACCCACCATTGTAAACTTTTAAGATGGCTTCACAAACAAATTTATACTGACTCTAGGGAAGAAAATGAAAAAAATTAAGAACCATTTTATAAATGACTATCCAACAAAAAAATTCAGTAATAGTTATATTCTATAATACTTGAATATTATTTATACATAATCAAAACTGATACATATACAAATACTTACAGTTGTTTGAATAAGCATCGCTCTTTGATCTCGCATAGCCCTCACTATGTCTAGAGGATAGACAGGTTCATTGGCTTCGATAAGGCACATGGCAGTTTCCATTAAAATTAAAACACCAGTTCTTCCAATGCCAGCACTAAATAACAGTAAAGAGGTAATTTACAATGGGAAAAAAGAGAGTTTACAAGAAACATAAATAAAAACTTCCATATGAAATGATCAGTTAGATCAAGAAGCAAAATGATCTTAGATACAAATTTCATAAATTCCATTTGGGGGACATGTTATGCAGACAGGGATAGAGTCAAAAATATTCTCAAGAAGAAATCTTTTTGAAGCTATGGTTTCATATTAGTGGGAAATCGGTTTCATAGCAATCGAATCACAGCAGCAAAAAATTGTAGTGCTACGAAGTACTGAAGTAGCAGAGTACAAAGCATTAACTGAAGCTTCAAAAGAAGTGATGCACTTTTGTTTGCTATAGAGAGAGAGCTAGGTTTTTTGGAGAAGATAGCAGAACCAACTGTATTACACAATAACCATCTAAAGTGCACAGAGTTTAGTGAAAACTCCAGTTCATCATTCTCGAATAAAATATATTCATATTCATTTTCATTACCTTAGGGAGTGTTATGACAATAAGGAAACTGACATAAAGTATGCAGAAACGCCCACCAATATTTTAATGAAGAATCTTGGTAGGGATAAACGTAGAAAGTATGAATTTATTAGGTCTTTAACTAATGAACCTTTTTTTGTTTTATTCTCTTGTCAGCTCTGTGAGGGAAAGTTTTGGGAAATTTGCATCCTCTTTTGTGGCTGGAATTAGATATAAAATACCAAGTCGAAACCAAAAGTGTCTTAGTGGAAGCTAAGAATGGAGAAGTGGAACGTTCCCGAATTAACTAGAGAGAACTACTTTATTTGGTCATTGAAAATTAAAGCTGCCTTATCACTGAAAAGACTTGACTCGGTAATTTCAACAGTAAAACCAGAAAATTTAGACGAGAAAGATGAAAGATTGTGGAATGAGGAAAAACGCTGACGCCGTAGCATATATAAAACTTTCACTATCGGATCAACAGGTGCTTCAGTTCTCCACAGAAGAGAATGCAAAAATTCTTTGGGAAAAATAAAGTCAACATTTATGGGGACAAGCCGAAGATCGAAAAATAGATGCTGGTAATGAGTTAAAAAATTTAGAAATGAAGTTGCATGAGTCGGCTAATGATTATATCGCAAGAGCGAGAGGAATAGCAACTAAGTGTCAATCGCTAGGACTAGATGTATCTCCTCGGGAACTGGGTTTTTTACACAGTCCGTGGACTTCGTGGAAATTCTCTCGAATTAGGGAAATTGTAAAAACTCAGGCGTGAAAAAAAAAACAATTGATGAAGTACTTGAAATACTCTGTGAGGAAGAGTCCGTTCACAATTCAACGAAATGGGAAATGACCTGATGGAAACAACGCAGAGGTGTTCATATGAAGAAGGAATAAAAACTATAAGTCAAGAATTTGTTACATTTGCCGACGACCTGGTCACATCGCGAAGGACTGCTATTACAGAAACAAGAATTCCATAAATGTGAGTTATCCAAAGGTAACAAGGGAAGAAAGAAGTCACAGCCTACGAAGTGTGAACGTTTCATCTCGTTCTGATGAAAGAGAAAATTGCTCTTCAACTTACGCGGGAAAAAAATGATGAATGTGATAAAATTGGTTGCTGGATAGTGGTGCAACCGGACACATGGCAAAAGACTTCTTTTGGTTTCAGAATATTACACCAGAGGTGAGGGAAATTACCAGGCAGGTAAACATTCAAAAATATATTCAGAAGGTATTGGTACTGTTAAAGCAAAAGCTATTAAATACAAAGAATTCTAGTTCTGTTAATTTAACTAGTATTAGTAATGTTAGTTATAGTTCCTGATTTAAGAAATAACTTAATTGTCACTCACTGCATTAATGGATAAAGGATGTAAAATTGAATCAAAGGAATAATTCTGTATTAGTTTTTAGTAGGTGTAATCAATTACTTTTTAAAGCATTTAAGAGTAACAGGTAGGCTTGAAGGTTAATTTAGAACCATATTATAATTCTGAATCTTGCATTGCTAATGATTATACTGGTTATAATTATGAACTTTGGCATAGTAGATTATGCCATTTAAATCCAAAATATATACTTAAAATTAAAGAATACATTGATATTAATGATAAGTAAGTGATTTTAAGTGTGAAAATTGTGACATAACCTGTAAAATAACTAATAAAAACAACTAGAAAAAGTCATCCAAATATTGACAGTTCAGAAATTTTAGAATTAATTCATTCGATTATGTGGCCCTGTTCAAACTGAATGAATTGGTGGGTCTAAATATTTTATGATATTAGTGGATGATTTTGCTGGAATGAATTTTACTTATTTTCTTAAAAGCAGAAACAAAGTGAAGTTGATTTGACGCATTTTGTAAATTTAAAGCTAAGTATGAAAAATTTAACTGGTAAAAGAATTAAACGTTTGAGAACAGACAATGGTTTAGAATTTGTAAATCAACAATTAGATAATTATCTTGCTAATTCAGGTATTTTTCATGAAAAAACAATTCCATATAACAGTGAGAGTAATGGGAAAGCTGAATGGGCAAACAGAGTTCTTTTAGAAAGGGCTAGGACATTACTACATGAGAGTGAGCTTCCAGTAAAATTCTGGGCAGAAGCAATTAATTTTAGTACTCAAGTATCAAATTTAACACCCCAGAAAGGAAAAGAAAAAATTCCTTTAGAAATTTGGACTGGTAAAAAACCCAAATTAAACTATCTAAAAAGGTTTGGATGTGTGGCATACTTTCACATTCCGAAAGTGATGCGAAACAAATTTGACATACCAGGGAAAAGAGGGATAATGTTAGGATATGCTAGAGAAAGAAAAGGATATCGTATTTATGATATAGCAAATAATAAAATAATTGAAGAACACTCAGTTAAATTTAACGAATCTTTAAAGGGTAGTAATTATATGGGAAAAAATAAAACCTTAGAAACTTGGGATATTGAAGAATTAAAAGGAAGGGGAAACGAAGTAGATCAAAAACCACACCTCGAATTGGTTGTTACAGAAAATACCCAAGCAAGCGAATATGATGACTCATCGAATTTCGAAATCCCCGACATAAGCCATTGTAGCAGGGGTGATGACAGGGGGAATGAAGTCCAAACATCTGATAGCTATGAAAAAAGTAATAAATATGGAAATGAAATACCATTAAGACGATCCCAGAGGCTCAAATCAAAACAACTGGTGTCAAGTATAATCAGTAATGTTCCGAATGATTTTTCAGAAGCAAAACAAAGTGCTAATTGGTATGACTGGAAATCCGCAAAAAATGAAATAGATTCATTACATAAACACAAAGTGTGGGAAATAGTAGAGAGGCCTTGAAAAAACAAAATTAGTAAAAGTAAGTGGGTGTATACTTTGAAGGAAAGGAGACTCTGAGGCAAGTAAAATATAAAGTGCGGATTAGTAGCGGCTGTGGTTTAATCAAATAAAAAATAAGGATTATACCGAATCATATTCACCAGTAGTTAACCATTGAATGTTTTAGATTATTGCTTGCACTCTCAGCCTAAATTAAACCTTTGGACTGTTAAATTTTATGATGTAAAAACAGCGTACTTGTACAGTGACTTTAAACGAGGATGTATATATGACTCCTCCACCATGGTTATGAAAAACTGATTGGAGAAGGTAAAAGTATGTAAAATTGAAAGAAAAGTATTTATGGGTTGCCTCAATCGGGTACAGAAATTGGTATATGAAAATAAAAACTGAATTAGAAAAACTTGGACTGGTACAGTTAGCATCTGATAATTGTATATTCATTTATAATGATACCAAAAACATTTTTATATTATGTTTGTATGTTGATGATTTAGCTGTATTCTGTAATAATAAAGAAATGCTTGAAAATATTGTTTCTAAAATAAAAAATGTATTTGAATTACATGAAAATACTAATTCAAAATATTTAGGAATGCAAATAGAAAAACTTGAAAATGGTATATGTTTGTCTCAAACAGAATATATTGAATCTTTATTGACTAAACACAATCTGGAAAATTGTAAAGCAGTGAAAACGCCATTCGTTAAAGGGGCAGATAAAGGTTTCTCATGTACAAATGAAAAAACTGAAGAAATTTTGTATCAGGAATTAATTGGGGAACATTTATATTTAGCGAATAGAACGCGTCCTGATATATCATTTGTAACAACTTATTTGTCACAATTTAATCATGTACCAGAAAAAAGGCATTATCTTTTGGCTAAAAGGGTATTAAGGTATTTAAAAGGTACAAAAAATAAAAAAACTTTTCTATAGCAATGATTTTGGAGTTTTAAATGCCTATGCTGATGCTAGCTTGGGGAAATGCAGAAAATGGTAAGTCATTTTCTGGTGGTACTATTTTACTAGGTGATTCATTGATTTCTTGGAAATGTCGTAAAGCAGAGAAGTGTTAGTCTGTCTACTTGTGAAGCAGAATTTATTTTCTATTTCTGAAATTGTAAGGATATTATTTGAACTGTAAATTTATTATCAGAATTAAAATGTAAACAATTTTTGAATGGTGCAGTGGTCTTGAATACAGACAGTCAAGCTGCCATCCAGTGGATCAACTGTGCAAGATCTTTTACGAAATCCAGACACATGAACTTACGTTTCCATTTTATGAAGGACTTAACAAAGGACAATGTTATTAAGTTGGAATGTTCACAAATTGATAATATGATTGCAGATTTTCTTACTAAGAGTGTCAGTGAAGAAAAATTGATGTATACATTGAAAGTAATTTCCTTAATTTCTTAATGTAATGTGTTATATATTGTTTGTATTTCATTTTTGTATTGAAAAAATGTTGGGCTCGCAGGAGGGGTGTGTTGGGTAGAGGCGAGCGAACGTTTTTTCTTATATGCATGCGTATTAATTATGATGGCACAGCTGTCTCTTCTACCGACACATCTGTCATTTGACCTTCGAGCGTAGGGAGATGCTGATATGTTATTTGCTGTGTGATGCTCAATATGATTTCCTGTGTGATATTTTTATTCAGTATTCATGTAAATAAAGTGTGTTGTCCTACGATGGCTTCTTTACTCTAAATATTGGTCTCTGAACAACAATAAGAATACAAGATTAAACAAACACAACAAAATTTACCAATTTTGTTGCATTTGTTAATGTATTACGTATCTGTCAAAAGAAGGGATTTCTTTATGGTGGACTTTCTCAAGAAAACAGACTTGTACTCATGTGATACATGGGAAAAGCCATGAAAACTGTGAACTAGTCTCTTTGCTGGAAATTAAACTACAGTATTCAGCATTCCCAAACAGTTTCATCAACTTAGATGATTTTATTCTTACTGCTTACTATATCTATTCATTCAAACAATTACACTTCATTCATATTAATGCAAGGACTAAATACTTGTCATAATCACAGTTTTTCTGCAGATGCATTTCACATTGAAAATCTAAACATATATAAAGTCATTAAAAACTCATATTTTTAAAATTACAAAATAGATATACAGATTTGAAATTAATGCATGTACCTGCAATGGACAATTGTGGAATCAACCATTCCGACTCTATTTTGTCGAACCTGTGAGACAAATTCTAAAAAGTCTGAGGCATCATCTGGTACTCCATGGTCCGGCCAAGATGTGTACTGCATGTGTGTAATATGCCTTTCTTCATTATTCTGAAAGACAGTCATTATTAAAAATGCATAAATGAAAGTAAAAATAAAATTCTGTCATATATAACATATATAAGTCATATAAAATACTTTTTTTATCCCCAAAATCTTTATACCTCAATCCTCAAAAACCAAAGGTCCCACAGGTAAGTTTTCTGGTAAAGCAATTAAGAAGGAAAAGATTAATTATATTCAAAAGGCAAACATAAAGGAAAGCATCTATATGTATTTAAGACACAATAACACGCCGAATAAATATTGATTCAGAAGTCAAACAACAAAAATCAGCGTTAATTCACAAAATTTTCACAGGACTAGTTTCGATGTTTTTACCGAACCATCATCTTCAGCTGCAAAACCGCAAATGAACAAGATAGGAAATAATGTTTAGATAAGATAAGAAAGCCTGGACAAGAATAAGCAAGTGGCGCCATCTGTTGGCGAAACCAGAACTAAAACATAATTTCTCTAAAAGCCGAAGGCAAATTTGGATTGGAATTAGGATCGTTAACTAGAACGGAAAGATTTTTATGAATGTGAAATGCCTCTAGAAAATCCAGTTCTCCAATGGAAGATGTTTTTTGAATAATTTTGGCAGCAGAAAATTGAAAAGTGGGATTTCAGACCAACAATGTTGAGCAACAGAAGACTTCTGTGTTTCCTTTTTTCTAACATATGCCTCATGTTCTTTGACGCGAAATTTAAGGCTCTCTTAGTTTGGCCAATGTAAATTAAACCGCACTGGCAAGGAATCCTATAATACCCCAGGAATTCATATCCGGAATGGGGTCCTTGAGTATAGAAGTTGGAATTTTATTGATGGGAGAGTAAACAACCCGAAAGTTAAATTTCTGCAAAATATGTGCAACTTTATAGCTAATTGATGGAAAGAAGGGAATGACAACATAATTTTTATAATCTCCTAAATAAGAGTGTGGCTTTTAGTGTGTGTTGAGATGAGAATTTTTTAACTGCTTGATTAATAATGTTGGGTGAAAGCCCCTGTCAATAGCTATTGCTTTTAAATAATTTAGTTCTTCATCAAGGGCTAGTTTGGAGGAGCAAACTTGAAGAGAACGGAAACATAGGAATAAAATGAAGCTAAACTTTTGTTTAGTCGGATGACATGATTTAAAAGTGTGGTGGAAGTTTACACCATAAAAAATTCAATAGAGTTGTAAAAAAGGTTTAAAAACATTTCTCCTCGTAATTACTCATGGTTCCTTTTGATGTAAAATCATTATTCACCAATGTCCCAGTGGAGGGGTGCATTAAGATGTCTAGAAAAACCAGACTTCGCGAATTCATTTTCTTGCATCGAAATTGATGAGCTAATTTCTCTCACTCAACTCTGTTTGAAAACAAACACATTTTGTTTTTCCAAAATAAATATTACAAAGCAACTGAGGGATTAGCCATGGGAAGCACCCTCAGTCCCATCTTGGCTGATATCTACATGCATTATTATGAATCAAAAATTATTTGAAACTTTAAACTTCCCGGCATGGTTCCGCTACGTAGACGATACTTTTACCCTGTTTGAAGGTAATAAAGATGATTTAAATAGAGTTCTTTCAACAATGAATTCTATTGATCCTGCTTCAGTTCACTTTTGAACTTGAGACTTGCAATTCTTTCCATTTCTTGACATTCTGGTCACACGTAAGACATCCAACTTCAGTACTACAGTTTACCGTAAACCTTCATTGGTTTGCCTTCCACCACACTTTAAATCATGTCATCCGACTAAAACAAAAGTTAGCTTCATTTTATACCTATGTTTTCCGTGCTCTTCAAGTTTGCTCCTCCAAACTAGCCCTTGATGAAGAACTAAATTATTTAAAAGCAATAGCTATTGACAGGGCTTTTTCACCCAACATTATTAATCAAGCAGTTAAAAAATTCTCATCTCAACACACTAAAAGCCACACTTTATTTTAGGAGATTATAAAAATTATGTTGTCATTCCCTTCTTTCCATCATTAGCTATAAAGTTGCACATATTTTGCAGAATTTAACTTTCGGGTTGTTTACTCTCCCATCAATAAAATTCCAACTTCTATACTCAAGGACCCCATTCCGGATATGAATTCCTGGGGGTATTTATAGGATTCCTTGCCAGTGCGGTTTAATTTACATTGGCCAAACTAAGAGAGCCTTAAAATTTCGCGTCAAAGAACATGAGGCATATGTTAGAAAAAAGGAAAACACAGAAGTCTTCTGTTGCTCAACATTGTTGGTCCGAAAATCCCACTTTCAATTTTTCTGCTGCCAAAATTATTCAAAAAACATCTTCCATTGGAGAACTGGATTTTCTAGAGGCATTTCACATTCATAAAAATCTTTCTGTTCTAGTTAACGATCCTAATTCCAATCCAAATTTGCCTTCGGCTTTTAGGGAAATTATGTTTTAGTTCTGGTTTCGCCAACAGATGGCGCCACTTGCTTATTCTTGTCCAGGCTTTCTTATCTTATCTAAACATTATTTCCTATCTTGTTCATTTGCGGTTTTGCAGCTGAAGATGATGGTTCGGTTAAACCATCGAAACTAGTCCTGTGAAAATTTTGTGAATTAACGCTGATTTTTGTTGTTTGACTTCTGAATCAGTATCTATATGTATACAACACACAATCTATGCATTACACTGAACAATAAATTTTTTTATTAAAAAAATATTTTTTTTCAGACTTGTGGAAATATTCTCTATGCCTGTCACTTATGGCTCTTAAATTCTGTCAGAAAATCAAGCTTCAAATTCAGAAGATACATATTAATTGACATTTTGCATAGTAATGGCTTTGTAGCTTTTTAGAAGCTTATTGGATAGTTCTGTGTAATTTTCTGCCTTCTGGTTACCTAAAAGATTTGTGACTACACGTTCAGAGGAATTTCATTCATCAGATTCAATATAAAATACACTTTGAGATGTATAGTAGGATAACTCATTTGTTCCTATTCTTAGAATCAATAATGATAACCTTAATTCTGATTTCCCTAATTTTGAAAAACCTAGTTTTAGGAAAAAAAAAAAAAAAAAAAAAAAAATTTTTTCATCCCTTTCATTCACAACTATTTTCAATACGTCTTATTTAATGTGCAAAGGTGGTAAATATATTTTGAGGAAATACTATGACTAAGACAATTAATTTATTTTAATCCCAGGAATTAATCACTCTTAAACCTTAGGTTTTCATATACATATATATATAATATTAATTGTTAATATTAGTAAGTCTTTAATTCCGTCTTAATATCCCTAGTGTATACAAGGTGTATATGCCTCTTGGTTCCACATTTTTTATGCACAGAAATTACAAAAATTATAGTCAAATGACTACACCCATTCATGTTACATCTCCTTTGGCATACTATCTGCCTGCATATGCACTTTTAAATATACTTTCGAAGAATCTACAAATAGTCTCCATTATTTAGCATAAAATTAGTAGTAACTAGTCTTCATGATTGTAATACATAAAATACTTGTTTTTGAAAAATCTAAGTTTAAAAATTAATTCTTTCAACTGCATTGAAAACAGCACTTTCTATGCTCTTTTCTTTTTTCTTACCAAAGAGATTCCATCCTTTACATTTTAAGATCAATAATTCAGCCTGACCTTCTGATAAATGGTTTCATTATCAAGATAATTTAAACCACACTGACTAGTGATAATATGCAGGACTGAAAAACAGTCACATTAATCTCTAGCACATAACGGCAGCATCAATGGGGGAAAAAAAAAAAAAAAAAAAAAAAAAAAGTCCAATGAAGAAATTTTATTTTCATAATCAAAATCAGCACCACATAATTATATAACACAATATTTTCTTACAAAAAAATTAAGGAAACTTGAGGATCTACAATAAAAGAAATTATGGACCTATCAGCAAATAGGAAATGGATAACTTAAGGCAATTAATCTAGTTAACTTCACTTTTGTAATAGCATTCGAAGGGGGGTACAGAAGTATATATGAATCTAATATTTAACATAACTGCAAAACAAGTTTGAGAATAAAACCAACTATTTAAAAGCTTTCAATTTTTATTAATTTGTGACTATTAATCATGGGTTTGTAAATCTTGCTACTCTAACAAAAATAAATGCTTCAAAAGCGAATCACTGTCAATTCTTTTAAAACTAAACTGGTCATTTCTAAAGGAATGACCCAGATCATCATTTCTTAAACAGTGGGTTGTGACACAAGAGATCAGGTTACAAAGCAAAATGTTGTGGGTAGTGAAAATTAATTCAGATACATGAATTTAAAGTAACATTAGTAAAAATCCCTTCAATATCTTTAATATATTACATTTTCTATGCAGGACAATTATAAAATCATAATATTGGCTCAGCAGCAAATTATATTTACACATTAAAAAATGACATTATGCGCAACATAATACTTCAGCATAAGTTACTTCAGGATCAAAATATGCTACAGACGTACAATATGCAACATCCTAAGCCACACTAATGTGCTGAGAATTTAGTTGGTACCACTATGACTAATGTAGTGATTACCTTTTTCCAGTACAGTCATTTGTTTCTGTTTCATTGCAATAAGTACCTACATTTCAGGAATAATACAATATTTTATTTTACTGTTTTACTCAACTATGACTGGTATTTACTTTAATAATTATTATGAGAAATGTTATTTATTTTATGATAAAAATATTTTTACTCATGGATAAACGGTTGAATTTGAATAACAAAGGTAGCAATACTACAAAGTCTCTTCAAGCAGGATCTAGTAATCAGATAGAGGCTACTAAGATGCGGAAAAGACATAAGATATTTCTTCAATTTGGCTTTATTTTCAACATTTGTGATGGTAATGAACAACCTCTTTCTTTAGCTTAAAACAATATTTTGGCTACAGAGAATATGAAACCATCGAAATTAAAAAGGTATCTTAAATCGAACATGTTTATGTCAATAAACCAAAAAATATTCTGAATGACTGTTAAAATCTTCAAATATAGAAAAAAAATTATTTTAAGAGATTTATGATTATTGGCAAAAATTACGTACTTGCATCATATGAAATGTCATATCTGATTGCTAAAATAAAAAGCCATATACCACTGGAGAAGTACTTCAAGGAAGTAAATACGAATATGAAATTTGGAAAACTGCTTTGTCAAAGACATGGTTGACAACACATTTAGTAAATGTGATGAATTTTTTTAAACTGCAAAGGCAAAAATGATTGGCAAAAATGCAGGTTTTAAATTTGTTAAAGCTGCTAGTAATGATTATATAGCTTTTACGCACTGCCTGATCCATCAAAAGCCGTTGGAAGGGGGGAAAAAAAGGGCATGGGTGGAACTGAATGATGTGGTTTAAGATGCTGTTAAAATTACAAACTTTATGAAAAGCCCTGTCCTTAACAGCCATTTATTTGTAAGTCTTTTGTACAGACATTGACTCTAAAATTTATTAGTAGTGTGGATAAAACTATTCAAGTGGAAGGTGAAATATGTCGTTGAGAAGGAATACAGTATATTATGAAAAATGGAAGAAGGAAAAACACTGACACAAGTCTGAAAAGACCCCAAAGTAGCCAAAGTGTCATGTCAAAAATCTAGAAATGAGTTAAAGACACTGATGATGTATACAGGCAATCATACCTGTCCTCACCGAGTTGCACTGGTGACAGATTATCTTGATGGTGAAGAACTCCAGTGGAATAAATAACCTGTATATTATCTGAATTTATGATAGAATATGTGTAAAACACAGTAGGATCATTGCAGATGCTACCTGGCACTCTTGAGGAGATTCATCATTGAAGTGCTATGCTTTGAAAATTCGTTTAACCTTTGTTACCAGCGGAACTGCAAGACAATCTAATTCATAGCATAGAAAATCACTAATTAACCACACCTATAGTTTTAGTCAGGGATGATCATACTCCTTAAAATTTTTTCTGTATATCTCTAAAATGTTGTAACACTAACCTTTACTCTGCTTCATATAACATTTCTTATGTTCTTATTTAAATTCATTTTTTTCTTATGTTATTTAAATTCATCTTGAAGGAACAAGCAGTTCTACATTTTGAAGATATAAAAAGCACAACAAAATAAAGACCTTGCGAATGTTATGTGCTCTTAGCATCAAACTCATTCAAGTTACATAAGTTCTTAGTTGTTTCTTTAATTTTATTCACCAGTGTATATTAAAAAATACTGTTGTACAAACCTCAGAATTTATCAAAGTAAATTCTCTAAATGCAAATGATAAACTCTCCTGCTCTCGTATGCAAGTAATACGCAACATTCCAAGATCCAACGTATCATACAGTTTAGGCCAATATTTATGACATTTTGATCTTCCTCTTTCCATTAAAGTGGTAACCATTACAATCAATGTAGATTGCTGCTCCCACACCATCTGCAAAACAATTCCACAAGATCAAAATAGAAATACATATAATACAACCTGCATATAATACATACCTTAAAAAGTTTAACATAAAAGTATTTCATATCCTGCCAGCTATTCAAATTGCATGCAGTTCAGTTTAAATAAATCAAGATTTCAGAAGTTCTTTGATAACATTATATGAAAAGCTCTAATGCGAATGGTAGGGCATACGCCTCTTTATCTTCTAATCTGATAATGTGATAGTAATACATTGGGGGTATACTCAGATCAAAATGAGATAGTAACAGAAATGTGCTTATTATTAGAAAGAAAAAAAAAAGTCATGTACATAAAGACATGTTCATAAAAAGTGACAACAGGGAAACTGTTGGATTAAGATAAGTGAGTGAAGTACTTGCTTCAGGTAAATTACTTAGAAGTGTCAAATTTACATAGAAAAATTAGAATTTCATTTCAAGAGAGGAATTGTGATTGCTAACTTTCAATAATGGAACATATGAACAGGCAACATCATAAAATAATATAAAGACGGGAAAAAAACTTTATTAGCACATTTAAAAGATTTACATTCATATGGCCAACAGCTGAGTTTCCATTAATCATTCTTTTCTAGATATCAAATTGATCAGTTTGGCAATTTTCTGTTTTTAAAAAATCCAGCTGAATTAATGATATAAATTTATCCTCAGAAATAGCACAGAGTGTTGAATACACTTAGTTGTCATATGAAAATACATTACTGGAATGAAAATACTGAAATTAATTGTCATTCATTATGTGACATATAATTAACTGTACAAAATACTATGACCTTTCTCTATTTGTTTCATCTGAACCTGAACTAAAGCTCCATAGCTGTTAAAAAAAGTTACAGCTCTAATTTTTGTAATTTATGCCATTTATTCTGAATGATTTCCAAAGGCAACAATACAACAGCAACAGAGATGCCCTGGAACAAAATGCTTTGCATATCAGCTTACTTAGTTTTCTAATAAAATTTGCAATAAACAAGATGTATGGTTGAATTAATCTAGCCATTATCTGATCTTAGTGTATCCATTATTTAAATTGCCTTCATAGCTGTCCAGATGAATGGTTACATTGTTCCATTCAGCTGGGAGCGATTGGAATATTAAAAAAAGGAAATATATATATGCCAAATAAATTAAAAATATGAATCCCTCCCTAACATATGCAAAATAAAAAAATATGAATCCACCCCTAGCATATGCAAAATAAATGTAAAATACATTTAAAATCCATCCCATATTATCCAGTGTTTAAAATTCACCCCATATCTCCAAATGCATTTCTATTTATTTTGCATTATTACCACCACTTGTTGCTGCTTTCAGCACACAATTGGATTAAGTTTTGAGCTGCTTTTTACTTTGCATTTATTCACTTACATGCATGCACACACACATATACAGTGGTGGCCAAAATTGTGGACACTTTTGGAAATTTTTATGTTTTTGAACTTTGTATGTTTATAGAAAACGTTACGTTTCACAAATGCAAACTTGTATATATCATTTTAAAGAGAATTTATTACTGAATTCAATACAAAACACAAAATTCAATTATTTGCAATACAAAAAAGTTAAATGATAATATTTATCGATATACATTAGATAGTGATTGCAGCGAGTTATCAGTACTTAGTAGGGCACCCTTTATTTTTGATTACAGCTTGACATCGACATTTCATTGAGCTGACAAGAGTTTTAAGCTCTTCTTTCGTTATTACATGATGCCAGGAAACAATTATAGCCTCAATTAGTTCCCTTTTATTTGATGGGTGCCTCATTCGGACAAGAGTTTTCAAATGGTGCCACAAATTTTCGACAGGATTGAGGTCAGGACTGTTTCCTGGCCATGACAACAATTTAATGCTCTTTGTACGAAACCACTCTTTTGATATTTTGGCCGTGTGGCAAGGAGCAGAATCCTGCTGAAAAATAAATGAAGCATTGTTGGGAAAGAGATCTCTGATGGAAGGTAGAAGTTTTGGTTCTAGAATAGTGTCAATGTATTTTCTGGCATTCAGTGTCCCATCGATGATATGAAGGTGACCAATACCATCTGCTGACATGTATGACCAAATCATACACTAACTGGGTTCTTCCCAGTTGCTTGAATGCTGTCAGCATGTAGCTCTTCTCCTATTCTACGTCTTACATATTTTCGCCCATCACTACCGAATAACGATATCTTAGACTAGAAGAGAAACACGCTAATGTGACAATCAAAATCGTAAAAAACAACCTTATATTTAGCGTAGGTATAATGAAACACTCAATCGATTTCGAGGGCAGCTAAAAGTCCCTCCTCATCAGGAGAAAGAAATACATAGAAAGAAGAAAATAGGAATCACAGAAACACGTGGTGCTTATCAGCACTGCACGTGGTTATAACTAGATTTTTAATCAGAGTTGCACTGGCCGCCCACTTTTACTGAGCCAGGCTGTCTGATCAAGCATAAAGAAATATTAGCGAAGTTAAAATAGGGAGCGAGGGGCAAATGCACATTACGCTCAAAATCTGAACTTCAAATAATGGAAAGCAACCACTGAACGGATTTTTATACCCTCTGGTAGTACCAAGTGCGAGGAGGTAACGCCATCTATCGGCAAAAATAATTGAATTAAGACAGTAGAATTTTAAAGGCATTAGGAAGGACTGGATTGGACTTCAAATCATTAACTAAACTTTCTAAATCTTTGTGAATGTGAAAAGCCTCAAGAAAATCCAATTCGCCTATGGAAGAAGCCTTTTGGATGATTTTTGCAGACCCAAAATCAAAATTATGGTTAAAAGTCCAGCTATGATACGCTATTGAAGACTTGTTTAATTTCCCCCCTTTTTTGACATAAGATTCATGTTCCTTGATACGAAACTTCAATGTTCTTTTGTTTGGCCAATATATCTTAAACCACACTGACATGATATACTATAAATTCCCCAAGAATTCAAGACAGAAACGCAATCTTTTTAGAATCGAAGGGTGAATTTTATTAATAGGGGAGAAAAACCGACTTGAAAAATTGAATTTCTGGAGAATCCGTGCAATTTTATAGCTAACAGAAGGATAAAATGGAAGCACCACAAGGTCATTGATATTATTTCTAACAACGGAATGTCTTCTTTGATGGGAATCTGAAAATTTTTTGACGGCTTTTATCAATAATCACGGGAGAAAATCCACGGTCAATCGCAACTGCTCTCAAATAATTAAGTTCATTGGTAAGCAAAGATTCAGAGGAACAAACTTTTAGCGCGTGGAAAACATAATAGTAAAAAGAAGCCATTTTTTGCTTAACAGGGTGGCATGACTTGGCATGGGGTGGTAAACAAACTGCAAAGGGTTTACGGTACACAGTGGTGCTAAAATAGGTTTCATTGCGGATTATAAGAATATCGAGGAAGGGGAGGGAATTGTTGGATTTAATTTCAAGAGTGAATTGGATGGCTGGATCAATTGAATTCATAATAGATAGAATCTCGGATAAATCCTCGGTTATAAAGACGGTTATCCTCCTTCTACAGAACAAAGCAAAATAATGAATTGTTTCAAGTGTAAACATGATGTCAGCTTCTACTGGCAGTTACTAACATTTGACTGGTTCTCAGAACAAGAACAGTGATTGGCTAGGAAAGCTAGATATTACAAACCACTTCATAACTGTGTTTTTTATTTATATTAAAGTACATATAACTTTTTTGTATTGCAAATAATTGAATTTTGTGTTTTGTATTGAATTTAGTAATAAATTCTCTTTAAAATGATATATACAAGTTTGCATTTTGCAAAACGTAACATTTTCTATAAGCATACAAAGTTCAAAAACATAAAAATTTCCAAAAGTGTCCACAATTTTGGCCACCACTGTAGTGATGATTATACTATCCAGGAAAGCATAACATGCTTGTGTAAAAGACTACTGTAACTTCGAAATTTCTGGAGTCCCTTAGTAAGAATAAGAATTCTTAAAATTTAACTTTCAGAAAATTAAGATATTTTAGATAAGCCTTTCAGTAATTATTTTTAACCTACTGTCTATTTCTTTGTAAAATTTGACATGATTAATTTGTTAATCTAGAGTTTTTCTTTTTAATTTTCTAATTTAATATTTAAATTCTATAGTTTAATTTTTTGAGATCTGAATTCACAACTGGGGGATATTCTTGACTCTTTCAGAAAAAAAAAAAAAAAAAAAAAAATTATTATTATTATTTTATATACCAACCCTAGTTCTGACAAGTACTTTGTTCCAGGGACAACATGTATTTTACCAAATGCTTATTATTTATGCAAAGTGGAAACAGAACTTACCAGCCAGAAATCTGATGTAGTGTTTGACAGAGGTCCCTGTGTAGCAATGTATCGATTGATAATTCCTGATGTGGGAATTTCCATCTAAGTAAAAGGAAACAAAATTAAATTTAACAGATAATTTTATATACTTTAATCAAGTGCAAAAAATGTAGATTACAAATATTTAAAAAATGCAACTTACATGTACATGGCTTGCATTTATATAATCACCATTAGAACTGTTAAGCAGAATGACCCTTGTGCTATCATCTATAAATAAGTATTGAAAAAAAATTTTTATATATTTAATTTTAAATATAACCAAAAGCTTAGATAAGTTAAATGCAACATTAAAAACACATAAAATTTTCATAATTTAGCAACATATTTTATCTGTGTACATGTTAACTTATCTAACAATGATTATTAAAGATGAATTTAAAATTTCTCAAGGTTTCCATGTCTGAAAATCAGCATTTCTGAAAACATAAATAAACAATGTACTATATCAAAATCGTAAAAACAACCTTGTATTTAGCGTAAGTATATTGAAACACTCAATCGATTTCGAGGGTCCCTGTGTAGCAATGTATCGATTGATAATTCCTGATGTGGGAATTTCCATCTAAGTAAAAGGAAACAAAATTAAATTTAACAGATAATTTTATATTAATAATAAATTAAATATAACAGATATTTTTCAATATTCTTACGCTAAATACAAGGTTGTTTTTACGATTTTTATTGTCACATTAGCGCAATTCTCTTCTAGTCTAATGTACTATATATCAGTGATCGTAACGTCTTGATAACAGAAGACTACAGTGATCTGGAATCAACGATGATTGTCTTAGGAAAATACTGGAAACTATTTTTAACAACTCAGTTTACGTTTCACTATTTTTAATAGCATCTTTACTTAATAAATTTTATGAAATAATCAAGCAATTGATTTACTAGTAGCTTATAAAATTAATTTTAATTTTAATTTTAATTTAAACATGGTTGGTTCATGTGTACTAAGTTTTCAGAAATCAGTACCAAATAATTTTTGTCTAAGATTTTTTCCCAGTCTATAAATGCATACTTCATAACTTTTACTACGGTCACAGTCCAGTAAGCTGTTTATTTGAAGAGATATTAATGCTTTCACTTTCTAATAAAACCGTTTTTGCAGCAGGCATAGTTGCCAATTGACAAGAGACAAACATTAATTATCTTTAATATTATAAAAGTGTACAGCTATACACAGTTCATCACTCAATCATTTAAAGGTCAATTTTCTGGACTTCGCAAAACATTGCGCAACAAGAATTCATATTATGAATCACGTAAACAAATCACAGTCTTCAACATTCAGTAATTCTACTTTTGTATATATTATTGTCTGCATCTACACCAAATTCTAATGATTTCAATGAAATATTTCAGCAGCATACAGCAGACTCTTATTAACTGGGGTAATACCAGAGACAGCCCATACATTTAACCTAAAATCACAGTTAATCTAGCACACACACATTAAAGAAAAGAAGAAGAAGATAATTAACAGAACACTATTAAAAAGAATGAAAAGAAAATCTGAAGGTCTTCAAATTTTATATTAAACCCCAACCAAAAGGACTTTATTTTGTTAACGTTTTGCATGTTACCTTTATTTACTAAATATCATGTTATTTGCACTTAATTGTTGACACTGCTCACTTTAAAACCATTGAGTTTGTTAATAAAAAATTCATTAAAGATTTAAAAAATCTGGAATAGATAATAAAACAAATTTGAAATTCAGGCTTCCAAGTGCGCATGTTCAGTTGGAAGACTACGTTACCCGAAGTTTGATGGCTCTAGATACCACTGTTTTTTCACAATGCGAGAAACATCCATGTAGATTCTTCATTATATAGTTTTTTTTAAACATAATACATGGCAATAATATTTGGTGGAAACAGTTTGAAAAGTGAACCAATGCAGAACTGAGGGTTGTCAGTCTCAAAACGACGCAAAAGGTCGTTTTGACACTGACAACCCTTTTGGTCTAACCATTTATTTACATTTTTAAGCAGTCTAATTTCAACAAAGTTCATTTTCTTTTATAAATTAAATGACATTCATACCAAGAAGACAATACTTCTAAAATATACTACTCTTGCAACAATAGAAAATGGATGATTAATAATGACTGTGCACTTAATATATTTTTTAAACTTTTAACGGAATGGCTACTGGATGGTAAAACACTTGAAGGCTAGTTGCTTAAGGGAAGAGAGGCCTTCATGAATGCCTTTTTATAAAAAAAAAACTGCCTTGTATTTACATTACTCATTATTTTTAAGAATGTTTACAGATTCTAGATTAAAAATAATTTAAATCTGCTGTTCACAGATTAAAAAAATTCTTAAGTATTCTGACATCATCTAGTACTACAGCAGATACCTATGGATTTCCTTTTCCTTTTTACATTTACCATAGCAATTTTACTTTATTCTAACAGCTCATGATAGTAATTTTTCCATCATTCCGCAATATACGATCCTCCCCCCAAAGACAGCTTTCAGATTTTACATTCCGTCTAAAGGGGCTTTAATGTTTTGTGCACTACCACTTTATTTATTAAATATCATGTTCTTGGCACTTCAATTATAAAATTCAATTCAACAGCAATATCGGAAAATATTTTTAAAATGAGCATATCTTAAGAATTTCCGATACACAGTCTCGTGTGGTGGAGATAAAAAAGTTTTTTCCCCCCGTACAGTGTTGCCATTGCTCGCTTTTAAATCCTTGAGTTTGTTAATCAAAAATTCGTTAAAGCTTTTCGAAATAGGAAATGGATAATAAAACAAATTCCAAACTTGGAGCTTTCAGATGCCCATATTCGCAGTAGGTTTACGTGAAAAGTGAAACGGACATTTAAAATTTTCAACGCAAAATCCCAAAATGAAATTACTATCCCTTTTGGGCTAATTCCCTTTGGGATAAAAAAGAGTGAGAAAGAAAGAAATGCTAGAGCTCTTTTTCAAAATGAAAATTCTTTTTAACTGAAATTTCAGTTTTATTCAACAGTAAAGACTTATTTTATGAATTCGCATCAGCAGACATTAATATTTATGCAGAAAAGTCTCTTATGCTTTTTAATTAAGAACTTTTTTAAGGTGTTATACAGTAATCTGAATTTTCTGACATGTTCCTACAATGTGCTTAAATGTCTAGCAGGCACAGCTGTAAGTGTTAAGTTGGGCACAGGGAATTCATGTGGGAACGACATGTTACTTCTATGCAGGAGATCAATTATATAAAAGATTTAATTCTAAGATCTACAGATTGGTGCAATAGCTCATCAAAAGTTATGGCTTCTCAGAAAGCACTTTTTAAAATTAATCTTAAAAGACTGACTACATTTTAAATCTGAAAAAATCTTTCAATTTGCTACATTGTTTTTAAAATACTAGATTATTTATTACACAAAGAATTAGAATTACTTTTTAAATTGGGTTTAAATGGTTAAAACATAGTTAAAATATGATCATATTACTAAGGTCAACAATTATTTGTAACTTGTAAGTTATCACTAAATTGATCATTTTATTTATTATTAGTTTAAACTAATCCTTAGATATTGTTAATAAGATATGAAAACTTCCAAAACGCTAGCAAGAAACTGCCAAACACAAAAACTTCAGCAAACCACATCTTTAATTATCTGCACATTTAATTTACCTGTAAAATTATAATGTCTAGTTACGCAGAACTGCAAACACCCCAAAATAAAATACATAAACACAGAAATATCATAAGTGCTTATCGATTAAAAATTATAATAAAATAAGACAAAATAAATGACTGAATATAAATAAATTGCAAATATTTACAAAAAATTTGCTAAACTCTGATTTTAGTTTTATAAGTCTCATTTTTAAACTTCTCACGCTGAAAAATGTTTCTCAAATTTAAAAAATGGAAACAGGTTACGAAAAACTAACAATTTATTTATATCAAGAGTAAAAAAATAATGATTTTTAACATGAAATTGAAGGGAAAATTTTCATTATGATTACTTACATTGAGTAGTGCAAATTTTTTTAACTTACAAACCATTAAAACTTAAACAATTTTTCACATATGTATTTTTTATGTACTGAATTTTTAAAATACTGTTCAGTTTCATTGCTAATATTATAGCAATACTGCTTTCTCCACTATCATAAATCTTTAGCTACTATTTCTCATTTTGACTTAAAATTTGAATAAGAACAGAAATTATCACTTTTGATGATAGTCACCTGCAACAGGCAGTTAAGAGAGTATGTTTCACTGCATATATGAGCATTATTTTAAAGCAAGGTCTGTTTGTAAGCATCATTTTAAAATATGTGTCTGCACAGGCTCCTGGCATTCTTTGTTCACAATAACTACTTGCATTCATGCCATCACTCTGTATGCTTTGTAGTGTGTGATTAAAATTTTTATGAAAATCAAGGGCCCTGCTGACTGCAATGTGCAGTCAATCATCCAATTCTTTCATGTCTTTTAACAGCAAGAAACATGAAAGCTGCGGTTATTCATTGTCAGATATGTGAAGAGTAAAGCATTTTAAGTAAGTGATAAAAACATTTTAATGTGTAAAAAGAGTATATTCTACAACCTCCAGGATTCGAATGTACATTAATTACAAGTAATCTTATCCAACCCAAATGCAACTGACAACAATATAGATTTTGTGAAAGTTTACTGCAATCAATAAAAATGAACACATAATAGTTAATAATCGCGGACATATATTTATACCAAAAATGGAAAAAAATGTTACGGTTTACAAAGGCAACCACAGTGATAAACCACAAAAGATATACTATCAGTGAATATATCAACAAATAGTGGCCACCCACATAGACAATTAGAGTTAAAAGAACATAAAACATATTATGCTTTTCTTTCACCTCATATAAAATACATCAATTTATATATCAGATAAAAAAACTGAAGTTTATCACACTTTCAGACAATACAGGCAGTCCTATCTTTGATTTAATGATACTGGTTAAACTTAAAGACAGGCACACAATATAAATATCTTCTGCCCTTTAGCACAACAAATGAAAATGAAACTTAAATCTCACATAAATCAGACTCCCTTTTACCTAGAAGCTTACAAGATTTTCTTTCTTTATACATAATATTTTCATAAGAGACCACTATAAAGTCTATCCCTCTTTTGTTTTTAGAAACTTCAGATTACAAATGCAAAATAATTAATAAAACATAAAAAAAATTTCACTTACAAGGAGATATGTCTCTATATCGATTTTTAATAAGATTTTCTGGCAATTTTGCGATATTCATCGTCATTCCAGGCTTCTTTCTATATAATTGCTGATTTAAAAAAAGTACACGATAATGAATATTAAACTAAAATAGCAACATGTGAAAACACAATCAGCTTTGATAGTTATACATATTATATTATTTATATTTTAATTCTACAAACATATTTTTTCACTATGAATGATTTATAATTTTACGATAATCTGATAATTCATATCTAACAACTATATGTCTCTTGTTTTTTCTTTCTCACCTCTTCCAGAATATGAAAAAAATGCTTCAAATGAATGTTTTGATATAAAAATAAAAATTATCTGACTGTAAATAATATTAATTTCAACTGAATATGCAGCTTGAAGCAGGAACAATCACACTGCTTTATGTTTTCTCTCATAATTTTCTTCAGGCTATTTATTCACAGTCTGCTTGAGAATTTACCTGCCAGTAGAAGGGAAAGATAATCAATTCTTTAAGTTTAAATGTAGTAGACACTCTAAGTCAATTTGATAAAAAGAATGCTTATATATTTGTTCCTCTCTTCAAACCTATCAGTCTACTAATAGCTAAAATAATGGTTGACCACTGGCAGTATGTTAACTAACCAGCTATTTTTTATTATGTTTGTAGTGTGACTGTAGCTACTTTTGCAACAAGCAATAATGACTAGAAGCCTTAAATATTAAAGGACAATGTGAAAGCACACTATAATACATTGGCATTGTAAAAGTAGAGCTAAAAAATCACCTGCCCTTCTTTTATTATTCTTAAAACATACATTTATTTTTAAAAGTCTATTAGTAATATTCTTCAACTTCTGAAAAATCCACATGCCGTACCTCTCTCTAACCACAAGTAAAAGACGTGTGAAATATTTTATACATACATATCATTTCAAGAAGAAATTCCAGCCTAGCATATCCTCCGATTGATGGATTCAATCATTTCATTGAATGTTCAAAGTTAGAAACTCTATAGTGATTTTCTCCACATATTTGTGCCATTGCATTACGCTAACAGCTGGCAACACTTTTCAGGTTATTCACAGATCTTCTTGTATCAGTTTGAAGAAATATAAAAGCCCCCCCCCCTTCCAAAAAAAAAAAAAGAGAGAGAGAGAGAGGAGAGAGAGAGAGAGAAATGTTTTTTTTTTTTTTTTTTTTAAATGAGGGAAAATGAGTGTAAAAATGTCCTAGATTCTGACAAAGTTCATGACCTAAAGCACTTCAAGATTCTCTACAGTTATTTTCTGGCCATGTAAAAATATTTCTCTGCAATCTCACTATAAATATAACAACACTTTCACTGTACCCTTTTGCAGTGAATAAGTATTAAGAAAACAATAAAAAAGCGGCAGGAAAAGAAGAAATGTCTCTCATCCTCCTCCCCCCAAATTGGAATTTATTCACTTAAACTTGAGGTTCAATTGTAAAAATGTTATGCATAATTTCCGTATTTAAATATAAAATAATGACAAAATTTATGCATTACTTCAAACTGTGCTATAACAGCACCACTCTCCAGACCTTCACTGAGCAACAGCATGGATTCTGCAAGTACATCAGAACGAGGGACTTTGGAGGATACGTGGGGAGCATCAGGTATGTACTGGAAGTCAGGTTCTTCCACATCTTCTCCAACATAGACTAAAAAATTTAACAGTTAAAACATTTTTTAAAAGCATTCATATTTATTTATTTGAAACAGTTGTTCCGTTATTGGGGGACCGGATTCAGAAATGTATGAATATATGTGCATATTACACAGATATACATTCTTGCTTACACACATATATGCATATATGAACACATACACACATTTCTTGATCTGGTCCTGATAACAGAACAGTACCTTTGAAAATAACATAAAATACACAAAAGAAAATAAACTGATAAAAGACAAAACCATGAGAACTACAACATCACCCTCTCCAGCTTCAGGTACAGAAATATACAAATTGTAATCAAATAAATTTATAAAGAAACAACAGCATACTTATTTGATAAATCAGTACAATTAGTATGTAATAAATATCCTGAAAAATATATCATGTTTGGTGCTCTATTACAATGCCTCACATCAGACAACCTTTGCTGTTCGAAAGTATAAAATCGTCAGATGTATTAAAATGTTTGGGATCTCTTAGCCCACCTAACTTACGGAATAACCTATTTTTATATGATGAATTAACAGTCATATGACAAACTAACCAAGATTCCTGCATATCACTTTCAAATACCAGCAGGCCCAGGAGTTACACAATAATAATACAGTGACCAGTGCTGGCCAGGATCCCACTTTTCGCTCTTCAGTGGCTGAGTATTTTTCTATTTCTAAACAATAAGTGAAACCCAAATTTTTAAAATACTACAGGTAATCTTACTTGATTTAAACCATTATCTAAAAACTGGAACTTTTCTTGTCGAAATCCCGAGGATTCCACAGTGATGACATCAGCATTACCAAGCACCTCTCTGACACCCAGGGGAATCTCACCAGAATACTTTTAATGTCACAGAAATAGTTGCAGTAAGCTGTTGTGTAATTATTTCTAATGAATTCTAATTACAATCACAACCTCCAACTCGAAACTTTATGGGCAACAGTTGTAAAATATACAGGGTAAACAAGATGTTTCTTTATAGCTTGCACAGTTTTTCTTTTTTGAGAGACCACTTCAACAGCAGTCTGTGTAAAAGAACATTTGTTTTTAGAGAAGTAGGTTTATCAAGCAACGAAAATGAAGAGGGAAAATACATCAAACAAATTTCTTTCACGGAGATATGATATTCAATCTCCCTAAGACATATCAAGATAAAAAATTTAGTCTGTCCTTTCAAATAGAAAAAAATGAACAGCTATGACTACCATTAAGTTAAACATAGCTGTTTTTTAAATTATCTTCATGACCATTGCATTTCTCACCTCATTTCAAAACAACAAAGTTAAAAAGTCACATATTCACTCCATTTTTAAAGCTGCAAACAATTTTAAGAATTTAAAATAGAAGTGAATAACTTATTTTTATTTCATGATGTCCAAAATGAGTTGGAGAATACAAGGCAGTTTAATAAAGTTTCCCTGTTTATTCCAGAAAAACAGTCAATAGTAAATTAATTTACACAATATTTTCTAAAAAACAGTCACTTCCAATAGCTGTACATATTTGTAAATTCCTCCTGAAAGGAAAGAAATTTGGAAGAAAATTTTAAGTCTTTTTTCAGATTTTCAAAGTAAAAATTCTGAATTCCCATTTTTCAAGCAAATGATAAAATAAGTCAAAACACATCAGATTTTTGATGCTGTTTCATATTCTTTTTTTAGATAATTTTTACCTAAGTAGTTACATGAAAGTCAAATGCTTCTTTAAAAGAGGGACAAAGTGCAATTTGTCAGACCTTTCTTTTTACTTCCTTGTACGAAGTAAAAAGGAAGTATTATAATCGCAAAAATTTTCAGACAGCATATTTCAACGAAAATATCCATTTTGACCGCTATCGAATGCAATTTAACGATGTTTTTGCGTGATATCTGTACGTAAGGACAGAATAAAAGACTCGTTTCCTCAAAAAAATATATATATATATAAAACTGCTTTAAAATTAATTCTGAAGAGAATTTTTCGTGGCGTCTGTACAAACGTACGTACGTTCGTACGTATCTCACATAACTCAAAAACGAGTAGCCTCAGGATGTTGAAATTTTGTATATAGGACTGCTATAACATGTAGATGTGCACCTCGTATTTGGTTGCAAACGGCCGCACCAACGTATATAAATACTATATTTATTATATATCCACTTTGTTACTCGCCACAGTGATCAGTTTCTTTACTCTTATATGTTTGTAAACTGTACATTTTTTGCTTTAAAAATGATTGAATTATGTTGTTCTTATCTTCCTGTTAAGGTTTTTATGCCTTTCGTAATTCTGGAAGCAGTATTTGTACAATTATCAACAATCTAAAAGCTGTTTAAGTGCAGTTAAGTTTTAAATAACATGGCAGACATATTTGTTTACATTTGAAACAGCAGAATTGTAGATTTGTTGCCAATCTAGAGAGACTAAGCTTCGCAACAACAAAAATAACGCCTTCATTTATTATTGCGAATTAAATCATGCTTAATCCTTTCTGGAATTTTTCGAGGAAATAAGCGTTTAAGATTTACTTAATTTTTAATAATTAGTAATTTAATTTTTAATAATTATAATTTTTAATACAGACATTTGAGCTTTTATGTATTTTGTCTTCTCGCGAAGTGAAAACTGAATTAATTGAATGAGGAAATACTCAATTGTCTGTGAAAAACTGTTTCTTTTTTGTTTGTTTGCTTAATTTCTTTTTACATCGTTCTAGCTTTATTATAGTATTTGAAAAGAACATGTGGCAACGATTAGATAACTCTTTAAATGATATACATTTGTGCATTCGAGTTATAATATGAATGAAATATAATACTGTTAAGTGAACCTAGTGCCAGAGTGTCGCTATGTTAAACAAATAGAGTGAATTTTAAAGAATGCCTTTATTTTATTGCGGTTTATGTGCCGTTGGCGAAGTAGATTTAATTAAATCCAATAAGTTTAAAAGAAATGCAAGAAACAAATGTGTATAATTTAATATTCCGTACAAGGAAGTCATGTGGTGTACACATCAGATTTTTTGATAAAGATATTAATTACATATAAAAATGTGTCTTAAAAAGTCAATTAGTACAGTTTTATGTCACCAAATTAAAAAACTTAATAATAGTAACCTATCTGAGCTATTTATATAGAGTATAATTGTATAAAATGAAATTCCTCACTCTGCAATATGATATTACTACTAAATACTCAAAAATTCATATAGTTATTTATATAAATTTTTAAGACTGTAAAAATCAGTTACAGTTCCTTACCATTTGGACGTACCGTCAACAGGAGTTCCGCCGGATGTCGTTCTCTCGATGCTCGTATGAGTTTCACAACCTAACGAAAAGAGAAGTTTCCATAAATTATTTTTTAAATAGGTGAATACTTAGCCTACAATTTACCAACAATCACTATAAATGAAAGCAGAATGAAACATTACAGTCAGCCGAACAAAAATAATTAAATCACACAAACAGCACAAAAAGTTTCTTCTGCATACTTTTATAACAACTGAATAAAATTGGTTTCTCTTACTTATAATAGATGTGGGCAGAGTCTGTGAGGTTTTCAAGAAAAATAAATTTCATAAACAGTATCTTAACTTAAAAATGTACCTTATAATAACTGAGATGGATAATACAAGCAGTTTTAAAAAAGTTTGCATGTTTATTCCATAAAATCAGCCAATAGTAAATTAATTTACACAATATTTTTCACAAAAAAGTCACTTCTAATAGCTGTATATGCTTGTAAAATCTTCATACACAGTCTAAGAATGCAATTTAAAATCTTCCTTAAGCTGATTTTCAAAGCATAGGTAATACAAATCCTGAATCTGAGTTTTTCAAGTGAATAATAAAATAAGTAAAAATATCATAAATTTGTTTCTAATATTTTTACTAATTCAGTACAGAGTTTTTTCTAACAGGATTTCAAGGCAATATGGGCTCTACAGGTCGAGAAAAACAGGAATTCCTTGCAGAGTCCTTATATTGTCTGGCAAATTTTGGTTTGAATTTCGTGTTTGCATACTTATGCAACTTTGAATTAATACAAGTTGCGAATTATGTAAGTAAGGAGGTTACTGTATTTAACAAGTGGTATTATTATAGACATCATGTTAACATTTAATAGTCTGTATCTTAAGAAAAGTATTTTGAGACCATTTAAGCATTCACAGGTATTTCACATTGCAAATGAATAGCATCTAATAATGAATAGAGGACTCAATATATTTCAAAGTGAAAACTGTTCACTATATTATTTACCATTAAGAGACCTTGTGTTTAATTAGACCTTATGTTTAACTAATCTACATAAAAGAGAATTATAATTCTCTTTTGGTAAGCAATAAAATAATTTTACTTTAAAATAAGACCAAGTGTTTTAGGTAACAAAATATATCCAGATACTCAGAACTAGATTTATTAAGTCTTTCTGGACTTAAGAATGTTAAGACAATTCTTTAGTAGAAAATATTTAAAAAATTAGATTTCTTCAAAATCATTAATTATAACTCCATAATAAGCATAATGAAAATTAATTATACAAAGTTATAAATAGCAAATCTGAGACACTTTGCCCCTAACAAAGTATCATTATCAACAACATATGCAGATATTACTTATTAAAGTTAGTATAAAAATACATTTATATGAATAAGTTTCCCTTTGAGAACTGAAAGTGAAAAATTATAAAGTGTATACCAGCTGTAAGGAAACAGATAAAGAAAGAACTCATGCATTTATTAAAGGTGCATATGAACAGAATGTTAGCTATCACCTCAAGTCCATTTATAATTTCTATAATGTTGCTACCTATTCCTTGGACAGCAATTCACAGCAAAATTTCTTATTAAGCTAGGTAATTTAAATCTGGATATTCTTAATATTCAGGCTTACAACAACAATTTTTAAAAGAGTTTAACAAAGGAGAAAATAGTAGAATGTATCTTAAAGAATGTTAATTCATAGTCACCATTCATCGTGTTCTTATATTTATTCTGTTAAGCAATTATAAGATCTTAACAAATAAGAAATTGCTTGTAAATACTGCTAAAGATATTTCTGACGTCAAAAGCTTATCATCTACGTGATGCATAAGAAAGTAATTTAAAACATATGAAATCTTTTTATTTACTTTTTTTGCTCATTAATTAAATATAATCACCAAAAAAAAATTCTGTAGTGAGATATTAAAATAATGTTGCAAATGCTCTTAAAATTCTTAGTATGATGCATTATAAATTAAACATTTTAAATTATAAATTAGATATTTTAATTATAAATTTATTATAAATATTTTAATTAAAGCATTATTTATTATTTAAATTAAAAGATGGAAGACCTCAAATGGCTATGCTATTATTTTTAAGCCACAACAATAAATTAAAGTGATATGTTTTATGCAATACCATTACTTGCCACATCTCTTGCTTGCAATATAGTTTCACACAATATAATCTAAGATAACAATTAAAAAATTCTGGAAAGGCTGCATTAAGGACATTTTGATTTAGCCCATATTTTACCTTTGGTTGTGAGTAAAAATCATGTGGCCCTCCCTTTAGCCTTGTTGAAATCCATCACATTCTCCTACCACCATTCACTCCTCCAGCAAAAGAAATTGATGAAATTAAGATCTGCCAATCTGCTGATTGTGAATAGTACCATCAAGATTACAACAGCTGAATTCTACCATATAACTGCAGCTCGGGAATCTACAATACAATACTATATTTGTGCTCAATTTTAATTACTCAATGTAAATGATATACCAGTAAGTGGTAATTGTATGCAGAAATGAGGAATGGGATTTTAGAGCAACAAGGATACATCTACCTGAGAGTAAATTATATGAACTTTGTTGATCCTGCTAGTAATGCCAACACTTAGATAACAGAATTTCCATAGTCTCATCTTAAGCAAATAATTGCATTAGAATATGACAAGTACATCCAAAATGCTGCTCCATCAACCTTCTGAACTGTGATGGTGATCTGTCAAGCAATGGGGACAATTTATGGCTATATTGAGATATAAGAACAGTATTTATGTAAAAGAAAAATGCTGATGGCTATCAGTATTGTTTTATATTCAGTTATAGCAGTAAAAATGATATAAGATAGTTTGAATTGCTTTTTTAAAAAGTATTTTTGTGTTAAAAGTACAATGAAAAGACCTTCAAGGGATATGACAGGTCCACATCAGTGCGTTCTTCTGATAATGCTGTGTAATATAATAATCTTGTAAAGTAATAAAAGTTAAAAACATATTGTATTGATTTATTGCCACTGTTTTTTATGTGGTTTAGTATGGTGATGTTATCAGTTTCTCCAGGTATCATGTTTCAAGGGTGATAGATCATCACCTGCTAAGAGAATACTTTATTTTTAAACTAATAATATAAAATATTAAGATACATGAAATTCTACAAGCAAATGAGTATTTTAAAAGTTACCTGATCATGTGTCAATCCTGCAACATCACGGCCATTTATCATTAGTACTTGATCACCCTCATTTAATCTGGGAATGCAAGTATCAGCAGGAGTGTTTGGGGCCACCCTCGAAACCAGAATAGGAAGGTTCTGATCGGCTCCACCCTTAAAAGAATGAGAAAAATCACAAATGCAGAAAAAGTGATGGTGAAATTTAATAGTATTCAACAACTTTGGTATTTTTTGCAGGAAATGATATGCTAGATTTTGCTGAAAGAAACAAAACCCTGCATTTATGTAAACGAACTAAACAAAGTTTTGTCATTACTGTGAGGAAGATCATTAAATTATTTTTCAAACCAATGGATTTTTTAGATAACAGCAAAGTACTAATATACTTTAGAGCATTTTAGACAATAGCAGAGTTATTTACTTCTTTCAAATTATATTATTATTAAAGTTATATATTAATACAATTACAACTAACACATAATTTCTAAAAAAATTCAATATTTTTAAGGAATTAAATATACTATAATCTTTAACTCATTTTTAAAATTGATTTATAACAGACATTTAATACATGATGTAAAGAACTAATTTTATTAAAGAGATTAATATTGAAAATTTTAATAAAATATAGCAATTGTATACATAATAAATGTATTTACATTATATCAACTAGGTGCATTATTAAAATATAAAATAAAGATTTATAGCATAAACAAATGCATTTACTGCTCTTAAACTACTCAGATTGTTATGCAACTGCTGGTTGATTAAAGTTGAGAACTAAACAAATGAACTGAAACTGCGTTATATCATAACATTCTGCGAAAAGACCATTTCCAAAACCATACAGAGAATTTAACTTACCTTCTGTGTGGTTTTGGAAATGGTCACCTTATATTTTATATAATCATAACATTTTAAAGAATTGTATGGATGATAAATAAGTAGTACCACAATACCAGTAAAATCACAATATAATAAATATAAAATTTCTAGAATGACTTCACTAAAGACATTTCTAAGATTAAAATACCAAATACAATCTTTCACTGTGCACATTTCAATGGATAAACTAGTAGAAAAAAGTGTTTTTTGTGACTTACACATGTATAACAACAAATTACATAAGGTTTAAAATAAAATAATTTTTAATTTAATACTTTAATTTAAACTAAAGTGAAAGCTGTTTTCAATAGAAACGAGATATTTAATAGTAAAAAATTATTCATGCAAAATCTTTTGTTACCACTTAAGATACAAAAAAGGTTACATTACTATTTTCATATAAAAGCTTTTTTTGGGGGGGGGAGATGTTCTTTTTAAGGAAGTTCATATTTCTTCTTCTGAATATAATTTTGTGCAGTTTTTCACATAGCACATTCATATAACAATATTTTGGTCAAAATACAAAACTTTATTTATTTTGTAAGTACTGACTAAACACACACTGAAATCTGCAGATATCTACTGAATTTCCATTGCATCAAATTAATTAAAACTTTTCATAAAATTCAAAACGATACTAGCAATATTTCCGGACTCCAGTAATAAACCTGACAAAATGCTCAATTATTGTCATTTCTATCAGACTACTTGCTTATAACACAAATATCACTGCAAAATATAGACATGAGGTCTTCTTTAGATTGTTAAGTTATAATCTGCACTATGCACAATTATTTTAAATAATAATAATAAAATCTTGACATACATACAAACAACTTCTAGTAATTTGTATGAAAGTTCAGCTGACATGATTTAGTGTAATCCTTATAAACATACATCACTGTAATATTTACATACATAAATGTGCAATACTATAATGGTTAAGAGCTAATTTTAAAAATGTTAAAGCAACCAAATTTTTCAAGTGTTCAGAGCCAGACTTAAGACTTGATAAGGCCCTAAGCTATTTGAGATATGAGGCTGTTTATAAGTCTGGGTGAAAGTGCAGAATCGCCCACTGCTTGCCGCGTTTTTAAGAATTGCACATACTCGGTATCCACGTACATGCCGACCTATTTGCACTTAAAAAAACATCCCAGAATTGCACATACTCTTGACTTTATCCATGTACACATCGACCTATTGTCACTTAAAAAGTCAAAGAAAATTGACAAAAATCCAGTTCTTCTTACTCTTGTATAAAGTGCCAAACAAATAAGTGGGCGATATTGCACTCATACTACATTTTAATTTTTTTTTTGGGGGGGTAAGTTATAGCTTGTGTAGCTTATACGTAAATCTGGCCCCGTTCAATAGGAGTGGTAAAACTCCTAAACACAGAGACATCTCAATATTGTCAGAGAAAATTTTGATGGAGGCCATATTAAAACGTAAACATAATTATCAAGTTAAAAAAAAAACACTTTAAAATTAATAGTTGGTTAGTTAATTAACACAAAACAATTATGAACACACAGAAAGAGATACCTTTATGAAGGCATTTTTGAAAAATAAACTACTGTTTACATTACACATACTGTAAGTTACAAGCACTTTTTAAGAACGTAAAAACATAAACTACATACATACAGATAATAATAATAATTCAGAAAAAGATTTTATTATTACCTTTTATTTTCATACATACAGGGAAAAAATATATAGTAAAAAGGATTTGGTCAAAACGAAGGAAGGAATTTTCAAAGCCTTTCTTACTTTTATATAAAGGTTACAATAAACACATTACTAAATGTTTTAAATGCAAATTATTCTCATTTCAGTCACAGAAATGAAAATTAATTTAATGATTTAAAAATCACACAAAATCCAACAATTTAAATTAATCTTACTTTAACATTAAATCCAAAACGACCCTGCTCATCAGGTTTCATTCTGATAGTTGCTAATCCTTGTGATTCTTCATGGCCATTTGTCTAGAAACAAAAAGGAAAAATCCTTAATAAAATTAGATTTCACAAAACTGCTTATGTAACTTTCCAACAAAGTTCTTTAAATGCTTTCACCTGTAAAATGTAAGAAATTATTGGTCATACCTTAAAAAAAAAAATTGCTTATTCCTTTTCTTCAAAATACATACTCCCTTTCCCTTTTTAACAAAAATTGTACTTATTTATTAGTATTTACGCAATATTTATTCTTCGGAAAAAAACAACAATTAATTCAACAATTCCGAAACTATCAAAAGTGTAAATGCTCCGGCTTCATATGAATCACATAATCTAAGAAGAAACTTTTGCAAATAGTAACTAAAAGATTCGGATGAAGACAACCGGATCAAACATTCTCGGTAAAGTAACAAAATTACGAAATCCGCGGTAAATCTGCGTGACAGGGACCAACGGCAACGGGTAAACGCGGAACACATCTCTCTATGCCACACATAATGACGTTCCTACCAGAAGAGGGTTCCAAGAAAAGAACAAAATCTGCGCCAATAAGTCGCCAAATCAAGTTTCTGTAAACATTACGTCAAAAACCTCCGCTCGCACAATTCACTTCCACACTATCAGTAATCACTGTAAGCGAGTATACTCGCTAAACACCTTTCCCTGTCAAGCATACTGTTAACTGATTTTTCAATTCGGGGGGGGGCATCAAAGAATTTCAGTTATCCGACCCAATTTACAGCCCATCCTAATAAAGGAAAAGTTCGGATAAATTCAGATGTCTATTTTTTGAAAACCAAATGTGTAATTACTGCTGCGAAAATGAGAAAAATTCTATATTTATTTATTAATTTGTTTATCTCGCTTTATTCTACGTATTTTTTGCAGTTTAAGAAAAATAACATATTTTTATCTCCATCAAGCAAAATGCACAAACATATATTTTTGGCAAATATTAAGAAGTAAAATAACTTTTCATACTCCAAACTAGTTACCACCAATTACTATTTCAAGTAAAATAAAACAACGAAACGAATTTTTATTTAACTGTGTACCAGCCTTAAAACTTAAATGCATACACTTGTTTCTATTATTCAGAAATCAAACTGAGAAACTTCCTTTTATTTATTTAAAACAAAACAAAAAATATACTTCTATAGATTTATGACCAAGATGGATGCTGTTTATTGCCTATTTTGTTTTAAGAAAGAGAGCATTATTATGATAAAGGAAATGACTCACAAAATATTTTTAAAAATGTATTACAAAAGCATTTAGGCTCGTAATATCTGCGTACCTAATTGCATTTCTATTAATTTTTATTCCTATTCAGTTATATATTTCCAAAATAATACCTGATGACGTTATTGAAAATCTACATGTTGTCAAATGATACTCGGCAGTAGTCTGTTCTGAATTAAATGGAAATAATGTAAACGAGCTGTTTATTGGTTTACAATAAATTTTCTTTAAATATGAATCAGTTCACATATCACACACTTTCATCTGACCTAATTTAAGAGTTCTTAAAAATACACAGCACTATTGTTTTATCTTGTTGCAATACTATACCAACGAAACAATTAACAGCATGCAAATTAATTAACGGCAAGATTGCGGTTTCGAAAGGATCCGATTAATTGGAATTCTATGCTAATTTACATCACAAAGCGCAATAAAATGTGTAATTCAATTACAATGTTCACCTTAAATGAATTAGATACGTGCTTATTTGACCGCCATACTCAGCTGACTATCATGGCTGGAAAGTGGTTACTAAAAATTTCTTTTTATCTGTCTCTGTCGGAAGATGAATGTTTTAAATCGCAATATCTGGCTAAGTATCGGGTTGTTTGGAAAGTAATTTCGTTTTTCTCCAACAGATGGCTTAATCGTATTTTTTCACAGCCAACTTCACATTTAAGCCGCACAATCATTATATATTTTGACAGCTGATCTAGCAAGGCTTGTTTGTGAAAAAGTTCGTTTGATACTACTCAGTAGTTTTTGGTTGGTGCCCTTTAAAATATGGGGGAGAAAGCAGCATTTTCGGCATATTTTAATTTTCTACGACCGCTCGTGATAATTTGAAATGCCTAGGTTTAATCTCAAAGTTCGACATATGGGTTTCTCATGTTCTTACGTTCTTCTTTAGCTTCAATTAGCCTTCCAGTACGTGGTGCATCTTCAAGATCAAAATTTTGCAAACTGACTTTCTGTCAATACATATTCTCTATACACATTTTTTTTTTTTTTTTTTTGTTTGTTGGGGCGGGGGGAGGGGGGGCTGAACAAGGGGACCGGGCGATGATAAAAGGTAAGAGTCCGGAAATCGCTGTGGGAATTCCGATGAAGGGCACCAACCAAAAACTATGCGTAGAAGCAGCGCCTTTGCACAACAAGGTGCGAGATAGCGTCAAAATAAGAAAGTAGCGGCTGAGGAAGGTGGCTGGAAAAATACGATTACGCTCTGTTGGGAAAACGCAATTACGTCCCGAACAACCCAATAAAAATCGAAAATATACGAAATCAGCCCTAGGCAGAAAAAGATAAATGACCTATTTCTCAGTTATTTACGAATACAGGGTTTGTAAACAAAAAACTCGTGTTTTTAAGAAAGCAAAAACAATTTAAATACTTAAGAGAGAAAAAAATCTTCTCGACTTTTTTTTTTTTTTTTTTTTTTCTTACTTTAATATGAAACGGAGCATACATTCAGGAACAAATCCCATAATAGTTTTATGAACTGTTAAAAACTAATTCAGAAGTCAAACAACAAAAATCAGCGTTAATTTACAAAATTTCACAGGACTAGTTTCGATGGTTTTACCGACCATCATCTTCAGCTGCAAACCGCAAATGAACAAGATAGGAATAATTGATAAAGATAAGAAAGCCTGGACAAGAATAAGCAAGGGCGCCCATCTTGTTGGCGAAACCAGAACTAAAAAATAATCTCTAAAAGCCGAAGGCAATTTGGATTGGAATTAGGATAGTTAACTAGAACAGAAAGATTTTTAGAATGTGAAAGCCTCTAGAAAATCCAGTTCTCCAATGGAAGATCTTTTTGAATATTTTGGAGCAGAAAAATTGAAGTGTGATTTCGGACCAACAATTTTGACAACTTCTGTGTTTCCTTTTTTCTAACATATGCCTCATGTTCTTTGACGCGAATTTAAGGCTCTCTTAGTTGGGCCAATGTAATTAAACGCACTGGCAAGGAATCCTATAAATACCCCAGGAATTCATATCCGGAATGGGGTCCTTGAGTATAGAAGTTGGAATTTTTATTGATGGGAGAGTAAACAACCCGAAAGTAAATTTCTGCAAATATGTGCAATTTAAGCTAATTGATGGAAAGAAGGGAATGACAACATTTTTTATAATCTCCTAAAATAAGAGTGTGGCTTTTGTGGTTGAGATGAGAATTTTTAACTGCTGATTAATAATGTTGGGTGAAAAGCCCCTTCAATAGCTATGCTTTTAAATAATTTAGTTCTTCATCAAGGCTAGTTGGGGAGCAAACTAAGAGCACGGAAAACATAGGAATAAAATGAAGCTAACTTTGTTTAGTCGGATGACATGATTTAAAGTGTGGTGGAAGGCAAACCGATGAAGGTTTCGGTAACTGTAGTACTGAAGTTGGATGTGTTACGTGTGACAGAATGTCGAGAAACGGAAAAGAATTGCAAGTCTCAAGTTCAAAAGTGAACTGAATAGCAGATCAATAGAATTCATTGTTGAAAAGAACTCTGTTTAAATCATCTTTATTACCTTCAAACAGGGTAAAAAGTATCGTCTACGTAGCGGAACCATGCCGGGAAGTTTAAAGTTTCAAATAATTTTGATTCATAATAAGCATGTAGATACAGCCGGATGGGACTGAGGGGGCTTCCCATGGCTAATCCCTCAGTTGCTTGTAATATTATTTTGGAAAACAAAATGTGTTTGTTTCAAACAGAGTTGAGGAGAGAAATTAGCTCATCAATTCGATGCAGAGAAATGAAAATTCGCGAAGTCTGGTTTCTAGACAATCTTAATGCACCCCCACTGGGACATTGGTGAATAACGATTTTACATCAAAAAGAAACCATGAGGAAATTACGAGGAGAATGTTTTTACCTTTTACAAACTCTATTGAATTTTTTATGGTGTAAATGTCTATTGAATCTATAAACCGTCATAAAAGCACCCTTGCAGTTAAATTCGCAAAAACTTCTTTTACAGTCTTCCAGTCGTATTCAAAAATCTTCCCATTGTAAACATAGCAATATTAATATTTCTGATGTTAGGGAAGAACAAGAGAGAATTCTAAAATATAATTTTAACTTCTCAAAACCTGTAAACCTCGATTCCAAAGATTTTGGCTCCTATCGAAAAAGCTTTCAAGTTCATAAAGTTCAGATTCAAGAAAGAAATGATTAGGCATCTTACGCTCATGGAAATTCAATAATAACCTTGAAACCAATCTAACTGCGAGAGAAGAGCTACAGCGTGAGATTCATTCTAACCCGATATTGTCATTCAAAGGCCGACAAAGGTGGCAGATAGTCGTCATGGATAACACTACATCGATGTGTCCTAAACTCTTAAACGAAAGGACATATAATCCGATCCTAAAGATCCTTCACCTCGACTTACAAATAAAAACGCGATCAAATCTCGCAAATCATTTCAAGCAACTTAAAACATCGCTATCCCATCTGTTGCGAATTGTGCCAGATTAATGCTCTTCCCCAAAATTCATAAAAGTGGTATTCCTTTCCGCCCATTTATCAAATTTAGGTACTGCCTCGTATCCATTAGCTAAATATTTAGTTTCTAGATTTTCCCCTCTATAGACAATAACATTTACAACCATAAAAAATTCAATAGAGTTTGTAAAAAAGGTAAAAACATTTCTCCTCGTAATTTACTCATGGTTTCTTTTGATGTAAAATCATTATTCACCAATGTCCCAGTGGAGGGTGCATTAAGATGTCTAGAAACCAGACTTCGCAAATTCTTTCTCTTGCATCGAAATTGAT